TCTGCTGAAACACCAACTCGCCAGGGCTTTTTCTGACGCGAGACACTGTGAACAGGACTCCTGTGATGTTACAGAACCAGAGAATCACTTTCCCACTCAGCTTCCTTTACTCCACCCAAACCCAATCTGCCAAACCCTCAAGTTCACCAGAAATTTTACCAAAAAGGAAGGAAACAGAAACAAACTAAAGGCTTTAAGATTTATTTAATCTATATTTTACCTAGGAAATTTTAATTTAGACAAAATGTTCAATACCTAATAACAATCCAGGACAATCTTACATTTCTATAATAGTTACTGAGCAGCATTCATTTGAAACAGTGTGTATCATCCATCCAACACGTTAACAAGTTAAGTTAACAAGTTAAGTTACCTAAGGATTTCATATGCTCAAAGGCACACTTTAGTCTCAGGAATAAAAATGAAAGCATAAAATGGAAAAAACTTTAAACAAACTTGAAAAAATATTCTATTACTTTCACATTAAATTCTATTTACCGGCCAGCGCCGCAGCTCACTAGGCTAATCCTTCGCCTTGCGGCCCCAGCACCCCGGGTTCTAGTCCCGGTTGGGGCGCCGGATTCTGTCCCGGTTGCCCCTCTTCCAGGCCAGCTCTCTGCTATGGCCAGGGAGTGCAGTGGAGGATGGCCCAAGTGCTTTGGCCCTGCACCCCATGGGAGACCAGGAAAAGCACCTGGCTCCTGCCATCAGATCAGCACGGTGCACCAGCTACAGCGCGCCGGCCGCAACGGCCATTGGAGGGTGAATCAACGGCAAAGGAAGACCTTTCTCTCTGTGTCTCTCTCTCACTGTCCACTCTGCCTGTCAAAAACAAAAACAAAAACAAAAAACAACCGTGCAGAAATGCTGAAAAGTGATACAAATATGCTTATGTTGCTGATTCATACAATTAGACATTCAACTTTGTAGATATATTTTTAAAATTTTTTTAAAGATTTATTTTATTTGTTTGAAAGGCAAGTTAGAGATAGAGAGAGGGAAAGATAAGAGAGATGATATTCCATCCACTGGCTCACTCCCAAAATGGATGCAATGGCCGGGACTGGGCCAGGTCTCGGGCCATATTCCACTGCCTTCCCAGGCTCATTAGCAGGGAGCTGCATAGGAAGCAGAGCAGCCAGGACTTGAACTAGCGCCCATATGGGATGCTGGCACTGCAGGCAGCAGCCAAACCCATCATACCACAATGCCATCCCCTTTATATATGTAGTGTGTGTGTGTGTGTACATGAAAGGCAGAGACACAAAACACAAAAGTACAGAGACCTTCTATCCACTCGTCTACTGCCCAAGTGCCTGCAACCCCAGGGCTGGGCCGGGCCAGGCTGAAGCCTGGCACTGCAATACGGGAGGTGGGTATCCCGCGCAACACCTCAGGGTTCTCCTGTTCTCCACACAGCCTGCTGGACCCCCAGTCCCAGCCCCCTTCCACCAACACAAGGCTGGCTGGCCCACCCAGAACCACACTCACGACATACTTGTATCCCAGAAATGGCTGAGTTCAGGTAAAGGACAAGGCAGCGCCTAGCAGAGACAGCGCACAGACACCGGCAAGGATTAAGAAATGAATGGATGCGGAGGCCCTCCCACCTTAAACTGGGACAGAAGCTCATCAGTAGCACTCGTCGACACTTCATTCTCTCTGGTTTCAGCCAAGCGTAAAATTTCATCTATATCCATTTCCTGAAAGAATAAAAGCAACACAAATGTGGTTTAAGAAAACGATCAACAGTCAGCATTTACTAGAAACGTTCGATGCACTGAACTGAGCCTCCTCTCCATCGCGCGCCACACCCTCCGCACCGCATGCTACAGGCTGCTGTGGAAGCCAGCGGGCGACAACTCAGCCCTCCTAAGAAGTAACACTGGCGGGCAGGGCACAACAGGATCCACAAATGCCTATTCATTCTTTCCCATTAGGTAAGAGCTTTCAGGTGCATAAGAAGACAGCACAAACTCCACCCTTCAGGTAACTCGTTTATGGAAGTCTCAGACGCAGAACCTGGACTCCCCAGGTGGCGCCTTCTAGTGAAAACTCTCCCCGCTGGCGGTACCTGCGGCTCCGACTCCTCCCCTTCCAGCTCTTTGAAGAGATCCTCTGCTCCAAATTTCAAAATGGCTGTCAGCTCTTCTTTGTTGAAAGGATTTGAGCTGTAGAAGCAAACGCAGCTGTAACGTCCAGTGACTCCTGAGGAGTTCCACTTCAGAACACCTGTCCTCCATCAAAGGTCAAGTGACTGGAGAAAGCGGAGTTCCTCCCAAAGAAAACAGGTCTCGCAGCGCTCCACTGTTCATCAGTGTCAGCCTGTGGGCAGAGGGCTAGAAAGCCCATCCCTGTCCTGTGCTGGCCCAGGGACGGCTCAGCAGGAACAAGGAGCACAGCACCACCAACGCAGGTCTCAGCCCCGGACTCAGAACGCGACCGAGAACGTTCGGCCTTCTCACCTCCGGTCCACGGGAGAGAGCTTTTCTCGCTGAGGCTCTTGCTGAATGAGTTATGGGAATGCATTCTGCTGGGGAAAGCGCACCTGAACCCACCGGGAACCCACTCCCAGCTCCTCAGCACGGGAACCCCATGCAGGAATGGCTGGATCCTCCTAAAGCCAACGGAACCTTCGCTGCTTTCCTTCTCTACTCTCACGGTCAACGGGGGGGAAAAAAAAACCTCCACAGAGAACTGTTACTGACAGAAAAACAACAGCCTGGTGGATACCCCTTGCAGAGAAGTCAAAGATGACACCTGGCTGTAACCTAACACACATCCCTGTGCGGCCACTGCGCACAGGTCCCACAGGAAGTCAAATCCAAGGCCCGGGAGAGCCCAGCGGCAGCCGGCTGACAGGCAACCAAAGGAGGAACCAGGACGGCAAAGGGAGGGACAACGCCATCCTCCTGTGGCTGCTGTCAAACACGGCCAGGAACCCACCCCACGCGCCCCCTCCCCCTCTCCTGGCCCTTACTTGGACCTCCCCGAGTTGTTCTCCAGGACGGTGCGCCCAGTGGTGTCCATGCGCTGAATCACCAGGTGGTCCAATACCATCTTCTTTTTGGCGCGTTCTATGATCTCTTCCTCCACAGTCCCCTTCGTGACTAACCGGTAAATATTCACCTGCAGGGGAAGGAGCGTTTTGCTTAGGCCTGATGGCAAATGAAACGGAGAATGCTACCTGCGTCAAACCGAAAGGGGAAGGGACGGCAAGGCGCACCCCTCAGGCACAGCCGACTGGGGGCCCCCATCCCGGGCCGCTCGGGCACACACACACTCCCTCCTGCGCCCGAAACATCCAAACTAAGCTGCCCTGAGGGTGCTGTCCCGCCTAATTCCATTTTTAAGTTCTCATTTATTTCCATTTTCTTTGAAAGACACAGAGATATCTATCCCTTAGTTCACTGTCCAATGCCTGCAACAGGACTGGGCCAGAAAGAAGCAGGAGCCAGGAACTCAACCCAGGTCTCCCATGTGGGCAGCACCCAAGCACCTGAGCCACCATTCGGTGCCGTCCAAGGTACCCAGAAGCAGGACGCCGGAACAGGAAGCAGGGCCAGGACTCAAATCCAGGCCCTTCAGTGTGGGAAGCGGGCATCCCAAGTGGTATCCTAACCGCACGCCAAATGCCTTCCCTACAGGCTTGTTTGAATTTTAAAAATTTTGCTGAGTTTCCCTGACAGAAAATTTTCACAGAAACTGAATCTTTGGCCAAATACAAAAAGTGTAAGTTATCCACGACTGGAGCAGACTTGTGATTCACACAGAAAAGAAACCAGTGTGCGGTTTTCCAGCACACCCCAATGCTAACAACGTCACGTAAATAGAGACCACTACGAAGTCAGAATATTTAACAACTGCACTTAAAACAGAGGAAAAGGCTCACGTCTAAGTCTCTGCATCACACTGGTGGCGCACTCTTCAGAGACCGAAGTCCCTTCAGAGGTTCTGCCTGGCCACACGCAGCTTCCCTTCTCCCGACTACTTAATCAGCAGAAACTGACACATGGGGGAAATAGAACAGGCCGAGGGGGTCTACAGAGCATTTTACAAACACCCTGAAAGGACACCGACCCCACAGCCCCACACCCACATTCCGCTGACCTGCTTCTTCTGACCAATCCTATGGGCCCGGGCTTGCGCCTGCAAGTCGTTCTGGGGGTTCCAGTCGGAGTCGAAGATGACGACAGTGTCCGCAGATGCCAAATTGATTCCCAAGCCACCAGCCCTTGTGGACAGCAGGAAGCAGAAGTCCTGTACACGATGCACAACAACACACTGCATTATGCACAGGCCTCCCAGAAACAGGCTCACAGTCCAACAACCCCTGCAGGTGTGAAGGTGAGTGAGAGACGATGGATGCACAGACCTTATGGAGGCTGACAGAAGGTCAGGAATTTGATGGCAGAGGGAACTTTCATTTGATGAAGAGGAAGAATCAGTGCAATGAACAGAATCCAAAAAGGCAAGGGGAGCGACAGAATTAGTGCTAACTCCTGGCTGAAGCCAGTATCTAAGAAGTCAACTCCTCAAAACACCACGTAATAACCCTGGGGATGGGCCGGCGCCGTGGCTCACTTGGTTAATCCTCCACCTGCGGCGCTGGCATCCCATATGGGCGCCGGGTTCTAGTCCTGGTTGCTCCTCTTCCAAGTCCAGCTCTCTGCTGTGGCCCGGGAAGGCAGTGGAGGATGGCCCAGGTGCTTGGGCCCTGCACCCGCATGGGAGACCAGGAGGAGGCGCCTGGCTCCTGGCTTTGGATCGGCACAGCGCCAGCCATGGCAGCCATTTGGGGAGTAAACCAACGGAAGGAAGACCTTCCTCTCTGTCTCTCTCTCTCACTGTCTGTAACTCTACCTGTCTAATAAAAAAACAAAAACAAAACAAAAAAAACCCTGGGGATCATTCCAGCAGGTGGCTGATTTTCTGAGGATAGGCAGATGATGCCACGGATGGCAGTTGGCACAGCAAGGACATCTGATGACGTAAGCGTCCATCCATCTGTCAGGCTGCTGAGAAGCGCAGCCACACCGCACTCAGCAAGTCCCACGGTGGAGCTGCTGGGTGGCAGAGAGCAGGCCACGGCCTGGCACAGACCCAGGCGCTGACAGCTCCAGTGTCCACAGCAGCTCAGACTGGGCAGGCATGGTACACCTGCCTGACTCAGAGTTCAGAAAAATATGTGGGCAGGTGGAAAGACATAATCAAACAATGGATGCCAAAAAGTTGTATTTTCAGAGAATTTGATTATGTCAAAAGCTAATGCCTCACTCACCACTCCAGGAACTGGGTACCATCTTACTAAGTGGACATATTTAACAGAGACACACAGGACACATGTGACGGAAAGGTCTCCACGTTCTAACCAGAGGTCACAGTCAACAGCCCTGTGCCTCACACACACACACAGAGCCACCTGCTGAGACACAGCCCTGTGCCTCACACACACACACACAGCCATCTGCTGAGACACAGCCCTGTGCCTCACACACACACAGAGCCATGTGCTGAGACACAGCCCTGTGCCTCACACACACACAGAGCCACCTGCTGAGACACAGCCCTGTGCCTCACACACACACAGAGCCACCTGCTGAGACACAGCCCTGTGCCTCACACACACACACAGAGCCATCTGCTGAGACACCGCCCTGTGCCTCACACACACACACACAGAGCCATCTGCTGAGACACCGCCCTGTGCCTCACACACACAGAGCCATCTGCTGAGACACCGCCCTGTGCCTCACACACACACACACAGAGCCATCTGCTGAGACACCGCCCTGTGCCTCACACACACACACACAGAGCCATCTGCTGAGACACCGCCCTGTGCCTCACACACACAGAGCCATCTGCTGAGACACAGCCCTGTGCCTCACACACACACAGAGCCATCTGCTGAGACACAGCCCTGTGCCTCACACACACAGAGCCATGTGCTGAGACACAGCCCTGTGCCTCACACACACACACAGAGCCATGTGCTGAGACACAGCCCTGTGCCTCACACACACACAGAGCCATGTGCTGAGACACCGCCCTGTGCCTCACACACACACAGAGCCATGTGCTGAGACACAGCCCTGTGCCTCACACACACACACAGAGCCATCTGCTGAGACACCGCCCTGTGCCTCACACACACACAGAGCCACCTGCTGAGACACAGCCCTGTGCCTCACACACACACACAGAGCCATCTGCTGAGACACAGCCCTGTGCCTCACACACACACAGAGCCACCTGCTGAGACACAGCCCTGTGCCTCACACACACACAGAGCCACGTGCTGACACACAGCCCTGTGCCTCACACACACACACAGAGCCATCTGCTGAGACACAGCCCTGTGCCTCACACACACAGAGCCATCTGCTGAGACACAGCCCTGTGCCTCACACACACAGAGCCACCTGCTGAGACACAGCCCTGTGCCTCACACACACACACACACAGAGCCATCTGCTGAGACACAGCCCTGTGCCTCACACACACACACAGAGCCATCTGCTGAGACACAGGCACAAAGCCCACAGTCCTCGGGAGAAGACCCAGCAGCGCCACGCCGCGCACGTGGCCCGAGGTGCAGGCGCCCAGTCCACGGCAGCACAGCTGAGGATGAGCCAAGATCCAGGTGCTCCCTCACCACAGACACAATCTGCAATGTCACTCTTCGTCAGATACCACAAATTACGGTACTTACAGCTACTATCAAACTGACCAAAATGCTAAGAAACTCAGCACTCCAAAGACGAAGTAAGACAGGAATAACTATGCACAAACAATATGAATATGAATTGTTTTAGGACAGAAATTTATAAAAACTTGTCCAAAATCTTCTTAAAATGTTTATACTCTCTAGACTATACCCAACAATAAAATGGTTAAATAATGGTAGAGGCATGAAGAAATATTAGAAATTCTGAGTAAAATTCAATGTCATGAGAAAATTCTCAAAGTATAATTCTGAATACAAGGAGACAAAAAAAAACTACACGCGACACGATCTGCATTAGGTGACCGTGTGAGGAGAGGCGGGCCTGGGCAGTGTGAAAGGACGCACACCCTCAGCACACGGGTCCAGCAGTGAGGGCCGGACACAACTTCTCTTCTCTGAAGTCTTTACCATCTTCCGAATGGACATACAATATTTTCCTCAAATAATAAATATTTAATTTTTTTAAATCTTTCAAAAACTACAGAATGGTAGAAAACCTGCATGCTCCACACAGCCAGGGAGGGGAAAAGCAACTTTAGTTTCTTTCTGAGAAAACGCAATATGAAACATGTCCCATACTATTTTTAAAATTAAGGGCAAGGAACACGACACCGGCTGCCCCAGCGCTGGACAGCAGAGCTACTGCCATCTGTGGAGTGCTTCCCGCACACCAGGCAGCCTGGTCAGGGCTCTGTGGGGATCAAGGAGCTGGCGCTGCAGTCACCCTGGTCTTACAGTTGAGGAAACAGGGAGAAGGCTTAGGAGTCGGGCTGGAGGTAGGTGAAGACAGATGTTTTCAGTAATTCAGTTCCTCTTATCCTTAACAATTTCAGAGCCTGGGTTCTGAACAGATTTATGTCTTAAAAAAAAAAAAAAAAAAGATTAATGTCCCAAGCCTTTAAAACAGGTAGGGAACCTTTTTTCTGCCAAGGGCCATTTGGATATTTATACTATCATTGTGGGCCATACAAAATTATCAACTTAAAAAAAATCAGCCTGCTATATATTGATTTTGAGTCCCGCATATGGCTGCCTGGGCAGGACCGGACCAAATGATTCTAAGGGCCTTATAATGGCCCACAGGCCAGACATTCTCCATCCTAGCAAAGGAAAAACAAACTTGGAAGCTACAGCACAGCCTAACTCACCCTGTCTAAGCAGCCCCGTCTGCAGGGGTGGAGGCTGACGGTGGCATTCCGCAGTAACAAGTACAGACACAGAGCTGGTAAAGCGCTCGCGAAGGCAGGACGTCAGTCTGCTTCATCCGCGAGGCTCCGGAAGTTCAGATTCTCTCCCAAGGACTCCCGGTTCTCCTCTGGCTCTCTCCACAGCTGCCTTTCCCACCTCCACACCACTACAGTCTTGTTTACACAGGTCTTTCCCACTTCTCTGAAACCCCCTGGGGTCTGATAATCTGAGGGGCACAAACTAGCCGGTTCTTCACTTTCTCATCTGCCCTGAGCAGTTCCCATGTGCCCCTGAAACAAAATGACAGAAGCAAATCCAAGCTGGACACTCAGGGTCTGAACTCGGTGCTGCTCAAAGGGAGGACAGGAGCCACCTCCTCTCAGAGTCTGACCAACGTGAACCCCGACTAAACACTTGCCCAGCTTCAGTCACCAAGCAGAGCACATCACAGCCTTCTGATGACACACACCTGTCAGGGTGAAGCCCAGCCCTCCCCTCCCCTGGCCTTGCTGCGTCTCCACGCCACGAAAGCCACCAGCGAAGCCCTCCGTGACTCATCAAACAGGGCACAGGCGCGTGCACACTGCTCTGGGGCAACAAGCACCAGCGTGTGCTCTGTGTCCTGGATCTCTCACTTCCTCTTCAGGCAGGAAGCTACTGCAAACGGTTTCTGAAAACAAGCACCTCAAACCGGAAAGACCTGCCCATGACACGGGCCTACAGCACACAGCACGCACCTCAGACCCGTCTGCATTGAAGTGGTCCAGCGCCTGCTTCCGTATTTCTCCCTTGATGGAACCATCCAGACGCTGTGAAAACAAACCAAAGGGAGGCCATGAGGTTGGAACACCAGCTACACTCTGAACAGAACACCACCCGTGCAACCTTTATCACCCCAACACCCACTGGGTAAAAATAACCAAATGCACCGGCCAAGTGCCCTGAGGGCAGTGTTCAGGGGACACCCCTGCTTGATCCTGCTCTCCAGTTACAAACCCAAGGTTAGACGCTCCAGGTCCAAAGGGCTTCCTAGGTCTGTAAAGACTGGAATGGCTGCCAGGACCTACTAGGAGTGAGATGAAAACCCAACCATGCTGAGAGGCCTGACGTGCTTCTGACATTTTGGTGTAGAAGAAATTAAGATGCAGTAATGCTGGCCCCTTAGTAATTAGCTCCTGCAAAAAATGATACTTCTCCCCCAGTGGGACAGAAAGCACCACGACTACTAAACCAAAAACATTACTTATGAAATTTGGTTTGGAAAACACTTTGCAGAAATATTGAAAATGTTAAAAAATGATGATATATAAATAATTTTCCAAAAATCACCCTCTGAAACCAGCAACCTGTGCCATGGCTTCAAGACAGCTGCTGGCACTGCCCAGCGCTCACAACGCTGATCAGAGCATGAGTCAGTTCTTGGTACAAAATGACATCACACTGGCCGGCACCACGGCTCACTAGGCTAATCCTCTGCCTGTGGCGCCGGCACACCAGGTTCTAGTCCCGGTTGGGGCGCCGGATTCTGTCCCGGTTGCCCCTCTTCCAGGCCAGCCCTCTGCTATGGCCCAGGAGTGCAGTGGAGGATGGCCCAAGTGCTTGGGCCCTGCACCCCATGGGAGACCAGGAGAAGCACCTGGCTCCTGCCATCGGATCAGCGCGGCCATTGGAGGATGAACCAACGGCAAAAGGAAGACCTTTCTCTCTCTCTCTCTCTCTCACTGTCCACTCTGCCTGTCAAAAAAAAAAAAAATGACATCACAGGAAAACCAACTAGTAAGTGAAACAAACACTAAAGAAATCCTACCCACGTGCAGGATAGATCAAGAATTTCTCACTATTTAAAATCATTTGCATCTCTCATCCCTCACAAACACCAACTGAGATGAACTAAATATCCCCTCAATTTACAGAAGGCAAGAGTGGCCCAAAAGTGCCTGGCTGGCAGCAAGCGGCCTTGGGAAGGACCTCCATCTCCCTGGACCGGTGCACCAGATCCACACAGCCGCCTGCACCCAGGCAAACTCACGCACAGGAAGCCCCTTTCTCCCTTCTGACTCCAGCTCCATGCACAGCCACAGGCCAGCTCGCAGCCCACACATCGCAACAGGAAACCTTGATGGAGTGCTTGTGGTTTTCCCTCCAACCGAAGGCACCACAGCATTGACTGAAAACTCACGATCACGCGGGAGGGGCCCGGCCTACCCATGAACAGGATTTGGCCCCAACCTCCTGCCGACGTTTAAACCCCAAAGTCCTGAGTTACTGGCACTCCGAGGGTGGAGATGTGACCCAGTTATGGTGCTCAGGAGGGCACCCGCAGAAGGCAGCTGGCATGGCAGGCTGGGTGCAAAAGCTCAAGACGGGCCCAGCTGCTCTGTGCTTTCCGGCTGGCCCTGTGATCCCTCACCGTAGGCCGTTAACCCAGTGGAGCCATCTGACCTTGGCCCTGAGCCTCCAAACTGTGAGCCAAATAAACCTGAGTTTCCTCGGGGGTTTACTGTAGGAACGAAAGGCTGACGACCACACCTGAGGACGCCTAATGCCCAAGAGGGGACCGGGATGCGTTCTTGATGACCTAGAAATGAAAGCTCACAGAGACCAATGAGAGGGAAAACGGTCCTGTGTGTTTAAAAATAACCGCAGCACTGCGCTGCATTCCAAGGCTGCTGTTCAAAGACCACCCAGGGCGCCAGGCTGCAGCAGTGCCTTCCAGACACTCTGTGCTCGGGGGCCTCTCGGCCAATCATCACTGCCTCACATTTCCGCAACACCAGAGTAAGGACAAGTGTTGGCAGAACGGTCTACCCACTCAAAGTTAACAAAGAAAAACAACTGTTGAAAATAAATCTCAAAAATAAAAGCATTTTAAAAATACCACCCCAAGAGCAGAAGCAAGTGCGTTCGTCTATGCCCTATAAATAGATCAGAGGTGAAGTTTCCCTTAGACAGAATGTCAGCAGTATCACACTGAACAGTCTCTCCTCCCACAGGAGGCAAGGGAGTGCAGACGGAAATTCTGTGGGGGCAGGGCCCCCGGCTGCCAGCCAGGCTCACCACCGTGAGGGTGGACCTGTGACAATGCCACCTCTGTCTCTTTCTTTCCAGGATTTGGGCTTCTGCAATCAGGTTCACGTTTCCCCTTGTCGCTCCCCCTCTTCGTGGAGGAACGACACAGGACCCTGCACTGTTCTTTCGTCTGCTCGGCCCTTCCCGGGTTTGCTGCTGGTTCTTCCTGGGTTGGCTGCCGTCCCTCCACCTCCGTGGAGGGGCAGGCCCCCCTGCCACTTTCCCCACTTCCGCGGGGGAGCGGCACACCGCCGGCCGGCTCTCTCGGGGGCTGCTCAGGTGCTCCTTCAGATAGATGTTCCTGGTGCATGTTGTCTCTCTCCTCCTTTATAGTCCTCTTCCACCAATCCCAACTCTGCTACCCACATGCCGAGTACACTGCTCTCCTCCAATCAGGAGCAGGTCCTGCTGTTTATTGGTTGAACTGGAGGCAGCTGTGTAGAAGCTGTTTACTCCTCTCCCAGCGCCATATTGGGGGAGAGCAGATGCATAGAATAAGTCTTTTTTTTTTTTTTTTTTTTTTTGACAGGCCGAGTGGACAGTGAGAGAGAGAGAAAGGTCTTCCTTTGCCGTTGGTTCACCATCCAATGGCCGCCGCGGCCAGCGCGCTGCGGCCGGCACACCGCGCTGATCCAATGGCAGGAGCCAGGAGCCAGGAGCTTTTCCTGGTCTCCCATGGGGTGCAGGGCCCAAGCACCTGGGCCATCCTCCACTGCACTCCCTGGCCACAGCAGAGAGCTGGCCTGGAAGAGGGGCAACCGGGACAGAATCCAGCACCCCGACCGGGACTAGAACCCGGTGTGCCGGCGCCGCAAGGCGGAGGATGAGCCTAGTGAGCCGCGGCGCCGGCAGAATAAGTCTTAATTCGAGTAACTTAGTCTAGTCTGAGTTGCTCCCCACATCCCCTCTACTCTAACCACAGACTTGTAAGACACCATCCAATGTATTTTTCTCTTACCTAATTCTCCTTTCTGTCATCCTCCCCAACCCACCCTCCAAAAAATGATCTTCTCATCCCCCAACTCTGTTTTCCCTGCAAGAGCCTAAGGGCATGGAAGGAAAACCTGACACCCTCCTGGACCCTTAATCTCAATCGTTTTTAAGCAAGAAAATCTAGTTTTCTATTTAGCAGCCAGGGCATGTGGCCAGTGAGAGAGGCCAGTGCTGCACCAGCTCACCTGGAAGGGGTAGTGCTTGATGGTCAGGTACTCGGCCAGGATGTCCAGCATTCTCACCATCTGAGAGAAGATGAGCACTCTGTTCCCCCGTTCCCGCAGCCTCGTCAACAGCTTGTCCAACAGAATCAGCTTGCCGCTGCTCCTGACCAGGGACTGAGGGTGAAAAGACATTCGCACACTGTAGTCAGGCACACACTTTCATCTGCCCTCACGCAGACCCTCCCGTGGACTGTGAAGGGTTTGACTCCCTGACCATCCAGCCACCCAGCGACTGCCGGAATCTGTGAAATCACACTTTCCGCATTTTTCTCATTAAGTAACTCTTCTCATCTGGCTCTCAATCTTGCTGTGATGCTCCCTGACAGGTCACCCAGAGGAAGAGGGGCACCTGCAGAAGCTGCCAGCCCTGAGCCCAGGCTCCCGCGGGGACGCCGCACGCACCAGCAGAACCTCCTGGCCGCTCTCCCTTTCACTCTCCTCGGGGGGCTTGATCAAGTGACAGTGGTTGCAGCACTTCTTCAGCTCCATCACAATGTTGAGGAAACCAGACGTGCTGCCTCTCGTCCCTTTGGCCAGAGCCTTGTAATTTCTGGTCAGAATCCATCTGCGAATCAAAGCAATACCGATGCTACTAGGTTCAAAAACAGAGACCTGTGACTTCCAAGACTGCGAGAAAAGGCAGTGTTACTGAAGAGAAACAAACAAGCAAGTATTTTTATTTTGCATCTCCTGCAGACGTCAGTCATGTGGGATGTTAACGACTCCACCGGGTGCTTCCCCTGCCTCCCGTTCTCTCCCCGTGCACACAGGCACACTCCACATGCGCTTGTATGTACACATTCAGGTAACTCACACATAGTTACCTGAAGCGTGGTTTGTCTATCTACAGATCTGGAAAGGAAGACTGAAACACTGTGTATTCAAACATACAATGGGAATAAGCTGTTGAGCAGTACGAGGTCAGTTAAATAAATTAAGCTATATTATAAGGATGTAAGTTATATACTCATATTAGATGTTGTAGAAAAGCAGGATGGGGGCTGGTGCTGTGGCACAGCAGGTTAAACCTCCACCTGCAGTGTCAGCATCCCATATGGACGCTGGCTCCTCCATTTCCAGTCCAGCTCCCTGTTAATGCACCTGGGAAAGCAGTGGAAGATGGCCCAAGTGCTTGGGCCCCTGCACCCCCTTGAGAGACATGGAAGACGCTGCTGGCTCCTGGCTTCAGCCTGGCCCAGCCTTGGCCATTGCAGCCATTTGGGGAGTCAATCAGCAGATGAAGATCTCTTTCTTTTCTGTGTTTCTTTCTCTGCCTTTCAAATAAATAAAATAGTTCTTTAAAAAAAAGTCTGACAAAATGCTCGTGACGTCAAGTTTGGAATGAGGGGAAGAAAAGCACATATATATAATTCCATGCACATTCCAGCATAATCCTTAACTATAAACCAAAATATTACAAGTACTTTTTTCTGAGTAGTGAAATTTCTTTACCCTTCTCCCAGCAATCATACTCTTAGGAACCTATTTTTGATCAAACCTCTGGAGGTAACGTAACGCCCTCCCCTCCCCCCACCCCAGGAAGTGGCAGATCCACAGTGGGACAGTGCACAGCTGGAAGGGGCGCCTCCACACACCCCCACGAAGGGCTCTGGGGAGAAAAGGAGGCGGGGCCCTGCTCACTACCAGGGACAGTCTGCACAGTAAGACGCACTGGCTCACACGTAAAAGCTAAACACAAAGAAAGGATAGCACTGAAATGCTACAGCACCAACCAACGGGAAGGAGAGGCCAGACTGGGAGGAGCAGGGCAGAAGCTACGTTTCTCAGGACAGGCCAGGCTTTGCAGCTCTGTCTTCTGTAACTTTAAAATATCATCAATTACAAAAAACACTGACAATACAATCCCTACAAATCAAAATTAAAATGAAATACATGAATCTTTGTATCCATTGATGCCCTAAACATACGGAAGAAAGCCATTTCCAGGGCTTTCAGACTCCAATCCATTTCTAGTGGGATTTGCCCTGAAGAGCAAAGAAATACTGTTAGAGAGAATCTTAATTCTGTTGCTATTATTCATACTGTTGGTGGCAGTACTGGCAGTTATTCCAAGATTACTGTGTATCTAGTGAGTCACATACACGTGGTTGAGAAGTGGGTCTTCAGCTTGGGTTTGAGACCAGTGAGGCAGTCACTTGGCATCTGCAGATGCTCGTGTCCTGTGTGAGATGCTGTAGCACTTGCACATAACCTACCCGTCCCCTTCCCGTGTAACTCTAAACCCCTCTAGTTCACTTATACAACCAATACAACGTAAATGCTATAAAAACAGTGCTTAGACAGCACTGATGAAGTAATGAATAAGAACAAGGAAAAAAGACGCAACGTTTATGTTTGTATTTATTTATTTATTATTAAAGAGGCAGAGTGATAGAGAGAGAACAAGAAACTGAGAGATCTTGCATCTGCTGGCTGACTCCCCAGATGCCCACAACAGCGGGAGCTGCGTCAGGCTGAAGCCAGGAGCCTACAATGCACACAGGTGGCAAGGACCCCAGTGCTCGAGTTATCACTGCCTCCCAGGAGTAGAGCGGGGCCTAGACGCCAGGACGCCACTACGGGATCGGGCATGACAAGCAGCATCATGAACAGATAAAATAAGCCCGTTTATTTCAGAGGGACTAGCATGAAGAATGAACACATACTTCAAACTTATTCAGTGCAGCAAATTCTCACCCAAGTGGAAAAGCAATAACAAAGCTTTTTTTTTGTTATGACCACACATGAACTGCAGTTTAACTCTGTGATGTGGCTTCAGTGACAACCACCTGTTGGGCACTGCCTGAAATCTCCAATACCACATGGCGCCTGGCGGATGTTCCAGGGGCTGTCTGTGGCTGCCACGGTTAAGCTACCTAAGATCAGACCACTGGCAGGGATGGGTCCCCTTTAGTTCCGGACAGTGGACAGTGCGTGATCCCTATACTTTGCTTAAGGTGCCCCGTGCGTGGTCCACCCACGCCTGCGTGACCTTTTCTCTGATTGGCTCCCCTGCTGCGCATGTCCTCCGTAAGCTTTATAAGCCTGCACGCTTCCTCAACAGAGCGGCTCCTGCTTCCACAGAACTCACGGTGCTGGTGGTAAGTTCATCACCCGTCAACCTTACCCTTCCCGTTCGCCTTGCTGGGGAGTGTCTGCACTGGCCCCTGCTGGTCAGGGGCTAGCCTCGGACTCGAGACTCCCACAACCACCCACCTAAGGGCTTCACAGGGCCCACTCCGCGCTCCAGGCCCGGCCCGGCCAGGACCCACTCACTTGTAGTACTGCTTCTGCAGCGCCGACATCTCCACCCGCAGGATCTGCTCCACCTTGGCAGGGAGGGACTTCTCCACGTCCTTCTTGACCCTCCGCAGAAGGAACGGCTCCAGCACCTTATGAAGACTCTGGTAGCCATTCTCTCTCCCTTTGCCGTGGTCTTCCTCAAAATCTTCCCAGAACTCAAACCTAGGAATGGAACAGCACAGTGTTATTGGTTAAACACAAGGCAAGAGTGCTTTTACAACTTTCTTTTATAAGGGGAAAAAAAAACTGTGACATAAAGTCAATCTGTCCTATAAGACAAAATTTAACAATCACTAGCTCTTGAAACAAGAGAGAAGCAAAAACCAACTGAATGAATCCCATCATTTTTTTAAAAGATTTACTTTATTTATTTGAAAGAGTTACAGAGAAAGGCAGAGACAGAGACAGAAGCCTTCAATCTGCTGGTTCACTCCCAAATTGGCCGCAACGGCCAGAGCTGCGCCGATCCGAAGCCAGGAGCCAGGAGCTTCCTCTGGGTCTCCCACGTGGGTGCAGGGGCCCAAGGACTTGGGTCATCTTCTGCTGCTTTCCCAGGCCACGGCAGAGAGCTGGACTGGAAGACGAGCAGCCGGGACTAGAACCAGCGCCCATATGGGATGCCGGTGCTTCAGGCCAAGGCTTTAACCCGCTGCACCACAGTGCCGGCCCTCCATCAATTTCTATACTGAACAACAGTGGACTTCCAATTTTCACACCAGAGTTGGTGCTTATGAAATACCTCAGGGACCAGCACTGTGGCATAGCAGGTAATTCTCCGCCTGCAGTGCCGGCATCCCATAAGGGCACCAGTTCAACTCCCAGATGTTCCACTTCCGATCCAGCTCTCTGCTATGGCCTGGGAAAGCAGTAGAAGATGGTCCAAGCCCTTGGCCCCTGCACCCGTGTGGGAGACCCGGAGGAAGCTCCTGGCTCCTGGCGCAGCTCTGGCCGTTGCAGCCAGTTGGGGAGTGAACCAGTGGATGGAAGATCTCTCTCTCTGCCTCTCCTTCTCTCTCCGTGTAATGTGTAACTCTTTCAAATAAATAAATCTTTTTTTTTAAATAAATATTTCAGTAAATCATGCAATGATATATAATAAACAAGCCATGAAATGTTACACAGAAAATTAATCAGCTATCTTCTAATAAGCTGCTAAAATTCAGAGATAAAACTGGTGGCAGTATTATTACAGCTGTCACTGTTCAAAGGGAAATGTTCATGATAAAACATCCACACTGATCTTCAGTGCACTCCTTCATGAATCACGACAGTATGACCTTGGCCCAGGAAACAAGGTCAGTAAAAGTGATCCAACCTAATACTCACAGAACTTGAAGACACAAATTTCACCAATAAATTTAGAAACATGTCACTCAGATTAACTCAACCTAAAATCTAGATAAGTTTCTTTGTATAAATATTAATTCAACTATGTGTGATTCACTGAAGGATCTGCAGGAGAGACCGGAACGGGACCCGGCCTCTCTGTGATACCAGTGGCCCTTCTCAGCTGAGGCCAGGCTGGCAAACTGGCAGCTCAGAACCACAAAGGCTCAGCGTACACCTCTGGAAAGACGGCAGGCCTGAGACAGCACGGGCCAGCACTGCCAGGGACACGGCAGCTCAACCTGTCTGCTGTGGCTTCTGAGCTGACAACCAGGTACTGCTGGGTCAGTGAACATCAGCCTGAGTAACACCTGGTCACACCCAAAACCACCATCTCGGGGGTAGAGCTCTAAGTCACCATTCAAGTCTACAGCCTGAGAACCCTCAGGTGCACAACACTGTGTCACACTGCTAAGATATTAAGCAAATATTCCAAGAACACAAAATAAAATAAATGAGGAATGAAAATTAACAAGAGGATCCAAAGGAACAACATAAGCTCACAACCGCCTCCATGCTCGGGGGTCTAACCTCACACACAGATGTGCAAAGTCACTAAAATCAGGAGTTCACTGTGCCACACTATCTACTGAACACCAGCGAGACAAGTTCAAGACTACTGTGATTCATTTACCACATAATCAACTAAAACCTTAACAGTCAAGCAAATGAAACATAAACTTCATTTCCGAGATCTCTATCTTCCTATTTTGGGCCGAGAAACATACGCAGCTGCCTACTACAGCCATACGATACTGAAGGAGTTCTCAGAGACATCACTTCTTTCATACACAAACTCAGATCCACAGCACCCACTGCTTGTGCGCTGTCCCTTGCTGCTTTTGGTCTACGCATCAGAGTAGTTGTGACAAAGACCCTAGAGCTTACGGTCCTCAAATACTGATTACAGAGCCTGTAAGTGTGCTGTCCCTGACAAGAGACAATTATTCACTTAAAATACCACACACATAGAAATTGTAGGGTCACAGTGGTGACAATACCCCTGCTATCAACTTCTGTACTTAATACTTCCTCTCATGAAAGCAGAAACAATTCTGATTTTTAAAAATTTCCAGACGTTAAGATTTTACAAAAGCTGAAAGTTACTCTAGTGATGAACAACAGCCAGAAAATTAAATCAAAGCGGCTAAAATGGTATGCTGAGAGTTATATCATAAAAATGTGAAAGGGAAAGTGCAAAAACTGGCCAAACAGCAGAAGACAAAGTGAAAAACAAAGTCACTTCTAAGAGGCAAGATCTCTGCGCTATGAGCTAAACAGACTCTCGCTGCGGGGTGGAAACACGAGCCGCACACAGCTGGCCCTCTGACCGCGTCTGCCGGCTACACCACAGCCCCACGTCTACAACAGTAGGCTGGTCTCCACACACTCCCAGCGGGCCACACTCAAGCAAGGCGCGCAGGCAGCTAGGCCAGGGAAGCAGCTGCACTTCAGCTGGTGAGGAGGACTAGCCCGGAACACCTGAGCAGCAAGGCTCAAAAGCGACCTGAGCAAACCACTGCTCTTCTCCACAGGGCCACCTCTTTAGTGCGCATCTCTTCAGCAGCTCTGCAGTCGTAAGGCACCAAGGGAACTGCTGCCAAGTACCCCGGAGGGTACAGCAAGCTCCGGCAGAAAGCCGGTAAATGTCCACTCTAACTGATGGCTTCCTTTTTATTTATACATCTTTATGAAAAACAACAATTTGCATAACAGCAGAAAAAGCCTAATGATACCATTTAGGAGCCCAAATCCTGTAGGCCACTTCAGCAGCCAGGTATAAAAAGTAAACCCTAGGTGCTCCCTGGGGGAAACTGTACACATTTTTTTTCAGATGTTCTCAACGCGTCTCACAATTCGTATGCACAGGATGCCTTCATCGGTCTCCATGGTGCTGTGAAGGATTTTTCTCTAGGGACCTGAAGTTCAAAGGCCATCATCTGTCATGACAGAACTCTCACTTAAAACCATGTCAGATGGGACACACTTCTATCAGCTAAGCCAGCACATACGGATTTGCAGTATGAGGCTAATACTCCCAGTGTTATCAAAAAGATCAAGGAACAGTAACAGTAAGAACTGTGAAGTAATATATATAAAAACTCTCTTACCCACTTCAGAAAACAAAAATTAACAGTTACCAGAACCTCTATTATTTCTAAATGCCCACACCTTATCTGTTTTACAGCACGTATTTCACTGAAAACCACACTAGCTCATGCTAGTGTGTGAAGACTACAATACCCACTGCAGCACATCTGAGAGAGGGGCAGAGGGGGAGGGGCACAGAAGGACCGAGGTGAGCAGCTAGTACCACAGACGGCAGCAGTGAGACAGGATACGGAGGTTCCACCGTGACAGACACCAGAGTCACTGCACAGCCAGACAGCAGTGAGACAGGACACGGAGGTTCCACCGTGACAGACACCAGAGTCACTGCACAGACGGCAGCAGTGAGACAGGACACGGAGGTTCCACCGTGACAGACACCAGAGTCACTGCACAGCCAGACAGCAGTGAGACAGGACACGGAGGTTCCACCGTGACAGACACCAGAGTCACTGCACAGCCAGACAGCAGTGAGACAGGACACGGAGGTTCCACCGTGACAGACACCAGAGTCACTGCACAGCCAGACAGCAGTGAGACAGGACACGGAGGTTCCACCGTGACAGACACCAGAGTCACTGCACAGACGGCAGCAGTGAGACAGGACACGGAGGTTCCACCGTGACAGACACCAGAGTCACTGCACAGACAGAAATGCCAGGAGACATTTTATCTGACAAAGGTGCTATAGGTATGTGGTGTATAGAGGCCGACGATGATGCTGTTCCTCTTCCAAGGCCAAGGTCAGCTCCCCAAAAAGGAATCACCCAGCCTAACGGTGAGAAACACTGCTGTAAAAGAGCAGGAAGGGTGCTTCCTGTCCCAGAAGCACGAAAGAGCACCCCCAACAAAAAGGAAAACCAAGCCAAGCCTGTTCTGTCTCCGGGACAGCAGCACAGCTAGCACGTGCAGCTCCTCTACCCACCTTCTTCTTTTTTTAAGATTTATTCATTTATTTGAAAGGCAGTTACAGAGAGGCAGAGGCAGAAAGAGAGGGCTGGAGCCAGGAGCTGGGAAAGTGAGTCCAGGTCTCCCACTCACATGGGTGACAGGGCCCCAAACACACGAACTGTCCACTGCTCCTCCTGAGATGTGCTCTGGTAGGATCCAGCGATCGGGAGCTGCAGCTGAGACTTAAACCCAGGCTCTTACTGTGCGATGTGGGCACTTTTAACCGGCACCTCAACTGCCGGGCCAAATACCCACACCAAGTCTTTTAAATTTTTAGCTGTAGTTGTTGATTGACGCCACTACAGGTGGCAGCTTAACCTATGCCACAGTGCTGGCCACTTAGAGCACGTTTTAAAAGAAACAAAGAGCGGCTGGCACTGTCATCGCTGGCAATGCCAGCATACCGTATCAGAGAGCCAGGTCAAGCTCCACTGCCCCACTTCCAGTCCCGCTCCCTGCTAAGGCGCCTGACCTGGCAGGGGAGCAGAAGGCAGCCCCTGCACCCACGAGGGAGACCTAGACAAAGTCCCTGCTCAGACCTGGCTGCTACAGGGACCCGGGGAGTGAACTAAGGGGATGGAAGACCAGTCTCTCACCTGATCACTCTCACTCTCTGTCATTGTGCCTTTCACATAAATGAATACTTAAGAAAAAAAAGCCTTTTCCTAAAACAATTCAATTTTTAAAAATAGCAAAAGATGAGAACAGACACTGCACCAAAGACATACAAATAGCTAACGCCCACATGGAAGGATGCTCGACAGCACAGGCAGCACAGAAATCCGCGTTTCAGCCAGTGAGAGGCACAACCCCAGCAGGCCAGAATCAGAGAGACTGACACTAACCTAACACATGACCACACAGAGACCAGAACTTTCAACCAATTCTGGAAAAGATATTCAAGGCTAGTCACTGGAAAACAGCATGCCAGTTTCTAAAATGCCCAACAGAAACTCTCGAAACACCATCCTAAGTATCTAAGAGAAACAAAAACGAGCATCCACGGGAAGACACAGCAGCCCAGGCTGAACGTGGGAACTGGACATCCGCTTCTTGGACCACCCTATTCCGCATCACAGTGCCCGGGATCTGTCAGCAGCTCTACTTCCAATTCAGCTGCCGGTCAGTGTGCACCCTGGTAGGCAGCAGTTGGTGGCTCATACAATGCTGTGGGTGCCTGCCCTCTACAACAGAGACCTGGACTGAGTTCCAAGCTCCTGACTTTGGCCTGGCCCAATAAAAGTGAACTACTGATCATTCCTATGACATGGATAAGTCTCAAAAACATTATGCCAAGTCAAAGACACCAAAAACAGGCCAGCGCCGTGGCTCACTGGGTTCTAGTCCCGGTTGGGGCACCGGATTCTGTCCCGGTTGCCCCTCTTCCAGGCCAGCTCTCTGCTGTGGTCCGGGAGTGCAGTGGAGGATGGCCCAGGTGCTTGGGCCCTGCACCCCATGGGAGACCAGGAGAAGCACCTGGCTCCTGCCATCGGATCAGCGCGGTGCACCGGCCATAGCAGCCATTTGGGGAGTGAACCAACGGAAAGAAGACCTTTCTCTCTGTCTCTCTCACTGTCTAACTCTGCCTGTCAAAAAAAAAAAAAAAAAGACACCAAAAACAGAAAATCCCACATGAGGATTCTACTTACACAGAATTTCTAGAAAAGGTAAGCCTCTGAGACAAAAGCTAACACAGTGATGGCCTAAGGCAGAAGCAGAAGCAGAGAAGGGACTTCCTGAGGCGAGAAGAAAGTTGTGACAGCTGCACTGTAGTGATGGCTGCACAACTGCATAAATTTACTTAGAAATAGTGAGGACGGCGGCATATAAACCATATCTCTATAAAGTTGTTAGGACACGGCACAAAGGCACCGCGCGTGAGCAGAGGGCCCTGCTCAGCGTGCGGCACAGGGCGGCTTCTCAAGCTTTCTTCTCGTGGGAGCACTCACTCTCCACAGGCGCAGCTTCTCCACCCACGAACGTGAGAAAAGGAAAGGGAACTGCGGGCACCCCATGCAGCGTGTGTCTTCCTTCAGCAGGGGCCATGCTCATCTTTCCTGTAGCGTTCCAATTTTAATGCACAAAGCAAGCACTTTAATTTTTTCTGAAATAAGGGAAAAAAGACTGGCACATTTACTTGTGAAGTGGTCGCCTGTTTGCCGTGTACTGTTTGCCAGGAGCTATCCTAGACAACATGGACCAGCGGTGAACACAGCGAACAGAGCCCTGGTCACTTTCACACGTGTACTTCAATAACACGAGATAAATGAGGAAACCAACAGACAACAGAAGGGCTACACACAAAACAACGCGGGGCGGGGGTGACGAGTCCGTCCAGGCAGTCAGAGGAGACTTCTAAAAGGAGCTGGTCACGTAGGCTGAAGCAAAAATTAAGGTAGCTGGCCATGGGAAGAAGTGAGAAGGAGCATTCCAGACAGAGCAGAAATGGTCTGGCATGCCTGCCGCCGACCAGCAGGCTGAGGCGCAGTGAGTGACAGACAAGGCGGCGTGAGAGGAGTCAGAAGACTGCAGGGGCAGACTGCACAGGCTCTCTCCTGCTGGAGAAGTGAGTTTGAATCCATTCCAGATACCACCAAACACTGGTGATAACTTTAATTCAATGAAAAGTGCCTGGGGATGGTGCTATGGCATAGCGGGTAAAGCCGCCACCTGCACTGCAGGCATCCCATACAGGTGCTGGTTCGATTCCTGGCTGCTCCACTTCCTATCCAGCTCTCTACTATGACCTGGGAAAGCAGTAGAAGATGACCCAAGTCCTTGGGCCCCTGCACTCACGTGGGAGACCCGGAAGAAGCTTCTGGCTCCTGGCTTCGGATCAGTGCAGCTCCGGCCATTGCAGCCATCTGGGGAGTGAATCAGCCGACAGAAGACCTCTCTCTCTTTCTTCCTCCCTCTCTCTCTCTCTCTGCCTCTCCTTCTCTCTGTGTAACTATGACTTTCAAATAAATAAATAAATCTTTAAAAAAGAAGAAGAGTGGCTACCATTTGTCCCATATGAATCTCTTCCATGAAGACACTGCACGGTTCTCTAGTAACGCAGAGACTCGGGTAAGACCTGAAGCAGGAGCCTCTATTGTCAACTCTGGGGGTACTTTAAGTGCTTATCAGATCGTATGCCTCGTATTACTTCAATTTCCAGTGTACTGATTGCCTCATACAGTGAGAAGGCTTAGTGTTTCCTATTTAACAATTATTTCCCAAATGCGTTAACCAACACAAACTTGCAATAGTTATGCGTCCCCCTCAGCAGGCCAATTGTCTGTGCCTCCTATCATTTACTACGGAGCAGGTTACTGCTGCTGTTCCTGCCTGTGTGATGCTGTGCTTCCCCACACCATGCCATCTGTTGTCCCTAAGGTCTGGTAAAAAAGGTAAAAAAAAAAAAAAAAAAAGGTAAAAAAAAAAAGACATCGCATTGCAGACATTCCAGCATCTTTTGAAACACACAGGAAGGAGCTTACTTCTCCGGCATAATAAAGTGCAGCAAGGACCAGAGCTCTTTGAGAGAATTCTGAAGAGGGGTCCCCGTGATCAGGAGCCTATGGTTGGACTTGAAATCAATCAGAGTTTTATACAACAAAGAGTCATCATTCTTCAACCGATGGGCTTCATCCACTCCCAGAAAGGCCCAGTTAATACTGCCCAGCACAGTCTAAAGTAAAAACAAAAAGAACGAGCCACCAAGTCAGAAGGGAACCCAAAAGTGATTCAAGTATTAATTATCTCTGCACAAATACCATCACAAAGGTGTACACAGACATTCATTCTTCACCGAATTAAAATATATCAGGACTCTTCTGTTTGTGGCGTTAGCTGCCAGACTGGAGTCTACTCAGAGTAGCGTGTGATAATCTAGGTGTGTGAGGTATTCCTGTGTACCTCTCAACAAGAACACAAAACTGGTGTGCTGAGCAAAACAAGACAAAAGTCACATGACGCTGTGCCTCTCTGGTCTCTTCTACCCGACCCCTGAAGCGCACAGCACCTCGGGCTGCCACCCTGAACTTGTCCCTGCACCACCTGCAGGCTCTCCCTACTGCCCTAGCAAACGCACCAAGCAGACGCTGAAGGCAGTCTCCTTCCAGAGACCGTCTCCAGCATCTGTTCTGGAGAAACGCCTCCACGGCAATGTGACAGGAAAGGCCTGGCAGGACGTCCGAGCCCAGTGTCTACGGACCGAGCTCAATCCCAGGCACGTTACTGGCCACAGGATCTGCTTTCTCCTCGGTTCAATTGGACAAGGCAACAGGGCACCATCAACATAAGACTCCATTTTCCATTTAAACCTTAGTATTCCTTGAGGAAATGTGTCTGCTCATTCATTTGCTTGCTTTTCTAAACAAAGCAAGAAAAATAGCATGGCAAGCAGGAGGCACAGACCCTATCATCTAGACAAGTCACACCGGGCAAAACCCAGCCTTTTAGTGACCGATTACACACCTTATCTTTTAACAGGATCTCGTATGTTGTTATGAGTGCGTTGAACTTCAGCCTTTTAGACTGGGAATGAATCCACTCATATTCACGTATCTACAAGAGAAAATGGTGATTAAGACACAATTTCTACATCTACCATTCTGCATCACACAAGTCTTCTGAGAGACACAAGAGACATGCCAAATACAACATAAATCTGATTAGAACATAATGAATACCTGACACGTTCTAAACTGACCCACGTAACCACAGTCCAGAGTAGTAAGAGTCAGAATTAAAATATCAATTAATTAGCACCAAAAACTTTACTGCTGGAATTCAAAGAAACTGCCCATCCCCAAACCTCCCGACACAGCTGACCAAGAAAATACATTTTGTCAGCAGTTGAAGCCTGGTGACTTGAGCTACACTAGGGATCTCTTAAATTCCCTTGACCTCTAGTTGGATATGTCAACACTGTTATCTACAAGTAAAACAAGTTCCAATTTCTGACTCGGGACTTTCCTCCATCGTAGCCAAGAGCAGAGAGGTGTGTCCACCAAGAAGCAGAAGGGAGGCCTCCAGGTGAACACGCAGGATGCCTGGAGACAACCTCGGCGTGAAGGAGCAGAGGGACAGGCCCTCGGCAAGCCCCGCGGCTCCTGGGAGCTCCTGAGTTTGGCTGTCAAGTGAGGAGCCTGAAACAGGACGGGACCCTGCAGGTCACCAGCAAGTGGGGACGACGCAGGGGGCTCCCAGGCCTCAGGCTGCAGCTCGCCTCCTCCTGCCTTCACCTCTGCAAGCACCGCACACAGCTATTTTTGCTATTTTTGCATAATCTGGAAATTCTTTTTTTCTTTTGTAATTGGGAACAAATGAATTAACAAAGCTAAGAACTATGATATAATTAGAAACCCAAACTTAGGGGAACAAAATCTGCCAGGGTATAAGTTATAATTTTAGTGAAAGTATCTGATAAAAAAAATCAATCTGAATTAGCATGAAAATATTAAAACATAACTCGCAAAGGTTTAAGGACTCCTGATGGCTCGCTCTTCTTACAAGCAATCTCCCAGAAACAGTTTCCACAGGGAAGCTGTGCCCAGCGGCCACTTGCCACACGCTGGCAGGCCTGTGGGACTGTGACGCCGTCAACTCTGAAGACAAGCCTGAGGTTACAGGGAAGATGCACGAAGCACCCAACACAAGGCCTGCTCCAGAGCCGGCGCTTCACACAGTTACCGTTACCAAGAAAAGATCTGTCGAACAGAGACGAGCTTAAGTCGCTGTGTTCTAAATTCATGACAGCCAATTAAGACTGGTAACAGAAAAATACTTCTGTGGCCTGAAATGGTTGGGTTTGGTTCCTCTCTCCTAAGTTACACAACCTTACAGTTTTAAGAGGCGGGAAACAAAGTACAAGAAGTCACTTATTTTTAGTGATTTCTCTCTGTTCAAATAGCAGTAATATTAAAATTCTGTATGACATTAACTGCATCTTATAATCTTACAAAAAGTAGTCTTGGAAGTATAAAGGACAGAGAGAAGAAAAATGTGACACTGCAAACCAGCTAAGAAAGATCCCCATTCATGTGTTACTTTAAATAGTAAGCACAGCTATATTTTTGTCATCTATACATCTCCCAATACTAGGGGTACAGCACAGTGTTGGAATACTTAATTTATTAAAGATTTTACTAATAATTCTACTAAAAGCTTTAGGTCAATTTCCAAAATACATTCATAACAGATTCTATGCCAGTTTGTTTTGTTTACACACCGTATTTCTGCTCATCAGGTCACCTATGTAAACCACTACGTTAATCTCTGGTGCCCAGATTTCAAACTCTCTCTGCCATGAGGTGAGGGTGGATAAAGGGACGACTATAAGAAAGGGGCCATACAGCTGGTGTTGGTGGAACAGGTAGGAGAGGAATGATATGGTCTGGATGGTCTTTCCCAGGCCCATTTCATCAGCAAGGATGACACTGTTACTTCTGCAGAAAGAAAAAAAAGACAAACAATCTTTAGTTCCCCGGAAAGCAGTCTGTGCAAACGCAGCAGTGACGCCAACGCTTCCCGGCAGCACGGAGCAGGCGAGGACAGAGAGCCACAGCAGCAGACTCACAGTGCTCCAGGCCAGGCCAGGCGAAGAGGCGCACACAGAGCCAGGCCAGCATCCTGACCCTGGCAACAGAGCAGGAGGCTCTGTAGAGCCGACTACAGACTAAACTGCTCTACACCAGCAGGAAAGGCGGTTACAGCTCTCCTGTCATGGAACGGAAACACACGCACAGATGACATTCTTTCTCTGTGTTCTGAAAACAACTCCTTCCATATTCACGATCTGGGCCAAGTACACTGCCACCCACATGACGATACAGGTCTCCGGGTGTGAAACATGAACCTCCAAATAACTAAATAAAGCTAAAAATACTCTTCACTTCAGATTAAAATGGTATTACACATACACAGACCCTCCTAGGATCTAATTTCTCAATCACATGATTTTTTTTTTATTTCTGTAACGCACAGTGGGAAACGTGTCTCTTTGCATCTATCAGTAAAGAAGCCAGGAAGTGCAGGCCGCCTCAGACACCTGCTCTACCCACTTGCACCAGGAATGCGCCAGCCAGTTGAGCCCTTCCAGCTGGTAATCCCGCAGCTCCAGATTTTCCCCTCCCAGATACGCAGGCTGCTTTTTCAAAGCCACAAATCGAGGTCTCTGCTTCAAGGCCTGAAAAAAAAAAAAAAAAAAACCAAAGCCCAGGTCTGATAAAGTTTTCTGCCTGCTTTGGTGTTAAACTGCCAGCCACAATTTCTGCACCAAAGCATAAAAATGTAAATTTCTTTAAAAAGTTTATTGATTTATTTTTTTGAAAGGCAGAGTTACAGACAGAGAAAGGTCTTCCATCCACTGGTTCACTCCTCAAATGGCCACAACAGCCAGCCAGGGCTGGGTTAGGCCGAAGCCAGGAGCTTCTTCCAGGCCCTGCATGTGGGTGCAGGGGCCCGAGTACCTGCTCATCTGCCGCTGCTTTCCCAGGCGCATCAGCAGGGAGCTGCCCGGGAAGCTGAGCAGCTGGGACCGTGTGCCAGCATCGCAGGTGGTGGCTTAATCTGCTGTGCCACACACTGGTCCCAAAATGTCAGCTTCACGGATGAATCAACACTGCTCCTCACCTCGTCCCTCACGGTCCATGGTCACAAAGCAGAGCTCCTCCGGAACTAACAGTTTGTTAACCTGCTCTTTCCTGAAGCAAGTCTGTGAAAGTCATTAAACAGCCGCCCCCTCCCGTGCGGCAGTGGGAGGCTCCCTGAGCACACCTCAAAAGGGCTGTGGCGGGCAGGCTTGGCGCAGGGGAAGCCCTGCCTGGACGCCCACTCCACACCCAGTGCCTGCGACGCCTCCAGCTCCAGCTCTTGCTGCAGCACCTGGGAGGCAGCAGGACACGGCCACACCCACGGCTCCTGCCACCCACGTGGGTGACCAACGTGGAGCTCCCGGCTTCAGTCTAGCCCAGGGATTTGGGAGGTGGACCAGAGGGCACAGAGGATACAAGAGCTCCCTACTGCCACTTACCTCTACCCCACTAAACGAAAAATTTATGGAAAATGGATTTTAAAAATAAGCTTATTCTGGTGCCAAAAAATGTTGAAGTCCCTACATACAAAAAATATGCAAAGAGTTCATGAAAAATGGAAACAACTTTTCATGGATTTCAATATTTTCACACTAAAGTATGTTTCAGTTCCATGTCCCCTTGTACTTTCACAAGCAGAATTATCCGGGAAGTCTGCTACAGCAGAGCCCCACCACAGAGATCTACAGATCCCGACACCTGCCTCCCTTGAGCCTCCAGGTGGAGGCGTTTGGTCCTAAAGAAAAGGTTGCAGCGTTCAGCTCCACAATTCTGGAGAATAAAATTTAGGTTCTGTGGCCAAGTAAGTTTGGTAAACAATGGAGCAACAAGTTTGACAAATTTCCATACTCATCAAAGTCCAACATACACATCTCTACAGGAGAAACTTACTCACAATGTGTCCCCAAAGTTATCTGGAGGCACAACTCCCTCTTCAGGGAGCATTTCTCGGATTAGTTCTCTACAGAGCCAATCAAGACCTCTGGTCTGAAGAGAACACTGGGTAGCTGTTGATGGTTCCCGCTCTCCTGGGTGAGGTCCCCCGACAATGAGGAGTGGGATTCCTCAAGACCATCCTCAAAAACACAGCCAGCATCCACTCCTGCCACGTCGGCCCTTGAGGGTCCCCACCCTCACCACTGCTATCCTTGCCCTCAGGCTAACTCCTCGCGCGTGGGCTGTGGGCCGCTGGCCTTCAATGATCACTTACTCCAGAGACTCCTAGGCCCGCCAGCAGAGGAAGCTTCCTTTGTAAACAAAATATCACTTCCACTCTGGTGCTCCACTTCACAGGGTGCTGACACCCAGGGGACACGGTCAAAACAGCCTGCATTTCCACCTAAATGAGGGAACCAACAGCATCTCCCTCTAACCCTGGTCTATAGGGGGTCTGCCGCACCACGCAGGCTTTCTCTTGACACTGTTTGTGGAAGGCAACACTCCTAGGCCTCCTCTTCCCTGCAGCCAGCACCAACCATTCTTAAGGGCCAGGAGCAGTTTAGGCACTACCACCTCCCGTCAAACCCGTCCAAGTACCACCTCGGTGCTCCGTGACTTCTACCTCTGTACGTCTCCGGCCACCTGCTCTCCGTCCATTCATCTGACACTGGCTCTCACAGACGATAACATGAAGGCCAACTTCTCACAGAAAAAGACCCACACCCATGTCACACATATACTTTCAGTACTTCAGGACCCCAATCCACCATGTTCCAATTGAAATAAATTCCAAAGAAAGAAAATGATCCATATAGGGAATCTAACAAATAAAAAAGCTGATACACTCAGTATCTAATGGAAAATTCAGAAACAGCAGCCTTTCTTGTCACCTCTAATCCTCCCAGGTATTCTCCATACCTCTACGCCAGTGGACTGTACATGGAGGAGTCGGCAGAGCCGCTCTGCTACTCCCCTCTCCTTGCGCCTTATTTGTAATCACATCCAGGTCACACTCTTTCACTTCGTCCACTTTGCTAGTATCTTCCCTTCCAAATGCCTATGTGACCAACCTTTCCCTTCCAAATGCCTATGTGACCAACCTTTCCCTTCCAAATGCCTATGTGACCAACCTTTCCCTTCCAAATGCCTATGTGACCAAACCTTATCAGTACATCTTCCCACTGGAAAAGCAGAAGTCGGCAATCACCGCACCTTGCACTCTCTCGCTGGGATGGTTTTCGAGTTGTTCCGACTGTGAAAGCTGTCAATGCAGCTCTGGAACTTCTCTCCGATCAGGGCTTCGTCTTCCCAGCTACACTCTGAATAGGGCAGTCCCATCCACTTGCACAGATACTCAGGTTCATTCGAAGGTGCCGGCTTGCGACTGTGAGCTATTTCACATATAAAAATTCACACATCAGCAACTGTCAACCAGAGGTGTGAAGGGAAATTCTCTTTTATGAGTGATCAACAAACATCAAGTGGCACAACGATAAATATTTTGCAAAAGCATGAACTGCTCTTAACATTATAAACAATTTCTTTTACTTACCTGGAAAATCAGTTTGACCCAATGTAGATTTACTTGTCTTCACAGCTAAACAAATGCAAAATTAAGACAGTAAAGTTATAACCATAATCATCAAAAAAAGAGATCTGGGGGTCTAGGTGTAAGAATATAAATACATTCAATGATCTCACATGTTATGAAACAAAACTCACCTCTGCTCACCTCCCTCTCAGAATGTCACACCATCTCTGTTCCCTTTTACAGCAAAACTCCCCCAAGACATTTAGACTCCCTCACCCCAATCCTCCATCAAACTGACCCCAGGGAGCACTGCACAGCCCTGCTCCAGGGTCCATGCCGCCAGCGCCACACCACTGCCTCAGCCGGGATCAGGCCCAGGTCCTCACCACCCCTCGCTAGCAGCACTTTCTCCTTTTCACCTCCGTCTCTTCTGACCTCTTTCAAACGTCCAGAAGCTAGAACATCCTCCCACTTCCTCTTCTCATGTGGAGACACTATTTCTGATGACCTCACTATATCTCAGGCTTTCTATACTATCTAAATTCCTAAATTTAATCTGCTGCCCAAATGAAGAGTTCTAAACTGCAGGCTCACGTGTGCTCCAGTTTCACAACATCCCACTTTGATGACAAGGACGTGCATCAAACTTCCAAACAGACCAAGCCCTCCCCTCATCCCAACACTCCCTGAATGGTACCTCTCTTCTCTGCTGTTGTTCAATCCAAACACCTTCACATCATTCTGACACCTCTTTCTCTCATTCCGCACACCCAAATTTACCAGCAAATCCTCAGATTTCCTTCAAAAAAAATCTAGGCATCGGTCTAATCTCCTAAAATAAAACTACAGGGGCAGGCACTGTGGTGCAGTCAGGCCACGCTGCCCCATGCGACACCTACATCCCACATCAAGTGCCCAGGACTGACTCCTGCCCCCACTTCCCTTCCAGCTTCCTGCTAATGTGCAGGTGATGGCCCAAGGATGTGAGTCCGTGCCACCCTCGTGGGAGACCATATGCTCCTGCCTCCTGGCTTCAACCTGGCCTACCTCTGCCTGCTGGGGGCATTCTGGGAGTGAACCAGTGCATGGAAGACCCCTCCCTCTTTCTCACTCTACCTTTCAAGTTAATTAATTAAAAAATAAAGTTATAGGGACCAGCACTGTGGTGTAGCAGGTGAAGCCACCGCCTGTGATGCCAGCCTCCCACATGGGTGTTAGCTGTGTCCCAGCTACGCCTCTTCTGGTCCAGCTCCCTGCTATGGCCTGGATAAAGCAGCAGAGGACGGCCCAAGCCCTTGGGCCCCTGCCGCCCACATGGGAGACCAGACGAAGCTCCTGCATCCAGGCTTTACCCTGGTCCAGCCTGGCTGTTACAGTCACGGGGGAGTGAACCAGTGGATGGAAGACCTCTTTCTCTCTGTCTCTCCCTCTCTGTAACTCTTGACTTTCAAATAAACAAATAAATATTTTTAAAAATATTTTTAAATAATAAACCAATAAATGCAGTTTTTATTTACATTTCTCCCAAAAGCAGATGCTTTATTCCTTGATTTCAAAGATGGCAAACATACGTTCTGTGTACTCACCGATTACTCTCTCCACTACTTGATACTGTTTATTCAACTCTGACGCCAGCTCCTGCTGACAATTGAAATATTCCACATCTTCGGGAGAAACCTTCCCTAACCTGGATCGATGACAGAGAGAAAAAGAACACGGTAATAGGATTCCAGGCACCCACACATCAGATAGCAGAAACCCCGAGGTAGGAAAGGAAGCGTATTTTTCACTCCCATTTGTCCTTCTAGTAACCTTCACTGTCAAAAGCCAGAGATTTTACAAAAGCACACATTTAGAAAACAGAGACCTTAGACTCGGGACATTCCAGTCACTCACCGTGCTGACAAAAACTAAAAATAACCACTTCATGTGACAAATCCACGCATCTTCCTGTGATAAATTCATTCATCTAAACAGATCAGGGCAATAAAACTGTCCTCCAGAATTAAAGGAAATCATACCTTGTCCCGGATGGGTACAGATTTAGGGGTGATTAAATACAGCAAATCGGAAAACCAGTTATGACTGGTAATATCAAAAATTTGGGAGAGGACAACAGCAGCAACATGAAATTAGATAATGCTACATTTCAGAGTGCTTCAAAGTTCTGTTTTAGAACCTCCCTCCCTACCTTAGGGGTACATATTTTTGTTTCTCGGTCCAAGGAAAAATATTTAACTTTCTAAAGCAGCACATTTTATGTAGAAGCAGACCTGAGTTGCAACCATCTATCTGTATCCCTGGCACAAAAACGTGACCATGCTCACTGACAGGCATTTCCTCCGACACCCTCGTCACTCGGCTTACGTCTGTGTGTGCTATAGCTCCACACACTTCTCACACGCAACCCAAAACACGCAAAGCTACAAGCAAACTGAAAGCACAACAGACGATCTCGGTTTTAGAAGTTAACACCTTCTTCACGTCATTTTTGCAGACTGTAAAACCAAGGTTAGCCTTAAATATATCACAACCCAGCCATCCCAGTCTAACCGTGACAAATAAACAACCAAGTGCTTAAAAGAATGGGCCCCAGATTCAGGCTGGCAGAATTCAAATTCTGGGTCCACATGCAGAGTTGTCCTGTGTCTCACTCTTCCATGTATAAAAGAGGGCTAAACACAGCCCAAATTTCACACTTTTACTGTTAAGATTACTATCATATAATATAAACTCTAAACTATAAACAAAAATACATAGCATCTTAAGGTCACAATTTAATAACACAGAATCGCGATAGCTCACATGATCAAGGAGAAATCAGAGATGCGAGAGAGCCATGCTCTCCAAGCATCATCTAAACACCTGCCCTTCCCCCCAGACCGCGAAGTCCCTGTGGCCGTGCTGGAGAACGTACCACTGTTGGATCTCGTCCTCTTTCTTCTTGAAGTTCTCCAGTTTTTTTAGGCCCTTCACTCTCTGTTGCTGCAAGGATTCTTCACTCTCCCAGGTGCTGTGGATGTAAGACCAACCCTTCCACTTGATGAGGTACTGGACTTCGCCTTCATCCTTCTCAGTATCAAAGTCACCACCAGGGTCTCCATTCGCTTCAACAGCATACACAGTAGTTGATGCTCCAGTGGCTGCAAAATAATTCAGTTAAACTTTCAGTTTTACTAAACCAAACACCACAAAGCTTCCCACGCAGACAACTGTCTAAGAGTCTCTTCCTGGATGAAACGCCGAAACACTCTGACTTGAAACAGAGAAACAACACAGGATGAAATGACCAATAATATCAAATATTTTCAAAATGTAAACCCAATTTTTCTACATTGACGCATATTCCAAAATTTGCAGATGAAATCAAAGAAATCCTCTGTACAAACACGATTTCAAAATGAAACAGAAACATCCTTTTGTATTGGTCCCTACTAACTTAGAATACAAATCCCTCTCTTGAGGAGTAAGAATAGAAAACCAAAATATCCTCCATGGGGCCGGCACTGTGGCATAGTGGGTAAAGGCACCACCTGCAATGCAGCCATCCCATATGGGCGCCAGTTCGAGTCCTGGCTGCTCCACTTCTGATCCAGCTCTCTGCTGTGGCCTGGGAAAGCAGTATTAGATGGCCCAACTCCTTGGGCCCCTGCAGCCACGTGGGAGACCCGAAGACGCTCCTGGCTCCTGGCTTCAGATCGGCACAGCTCTAGCCATTGAGGCCAATTGGGGAGTGAACCAGCAGGTAGAAGACCTCTCTCTCTTTGCCTCTCCTTTTCTCTCTGTATAAGCGCTGACTTTCAAATAAATAAATAAATCTTTAAAAAACAAAACAAAACCAAACAAAATATCCTCCACCCCCAACTTACCCACCCACCCACAGTTAACTCTCTTAACCTCAAGTAAAGCCAGGATAATAATAAGACAAAGGAAATGTTTTAAGTATTATTCTGATATTTCCTTCCTTCATGCAAAAGTTACTTTAAACCAACAAATTTATCTCATTGGCTAGTAAAAATTCTTTACCATTATCCTGATACGTATTTAACCAGTTTGACAGTTTCACAAAGAAACAATTAAAGGCAGATTTTCTCTATTACATCACTTCTTTACAAAACACTATCTTTCCCAGCTTAATTAATTTTAAAATCACAAAGACATACTGAACAAATTCCTTCTTCATCAGCCCTGAAACAGGAAGATGGGACAGAAAGATTTCTACATTTCACAAACAGAGGCGCACACTGAAATTCATCACATCACAGTTAAAAATACATAAAATCTGGGCCTTATTGAGCAAATATAAAAGGCAATTTGCCTCTCAAAGACACACACCTCCTTTCTTTCCCAGTCTGGAATCTAAGACCTTCTCAATAGTTTCGCTATTATCTTGCTGTTCATCAACTCCTTCTCCAGTCATTTCAATGAGATCATCTGAGTCGGTCTCAAAGTCGTCATCTTCTTTGTAACTGCAGGAGGAATAATGCTGAATAAATGAGAAACTAACTTTTCAGAATCAAACACCAAGATGTGCTGCCCACCACCAGGGTGAACCACAACGCGGTCCTACACGCTGTTTTCCGCATCAGCCATTCAAGGGGCTCAAGTTCATTTCTCTTCCCTTCTTGAAGTACGGATGCTTGTTCATGGAAACTGCAGCAAAGGTCACTCTCATTTCAAAATGATTTTTGTAAGCCAGACACAGAAAATCACACAGACGCTATTCTTTTTTTTTGTATCCAATCATTACCAATCATTAGTATATAAAACAGCGAAGCTGCCACGAAGAAAATGAAAGAAAATAATTGCCATTATCTCATCAGGCAAAAGGGACACAATATTTCTAAGACTAAATGTTTCAACCCCGTGAGCGTTTTGTCTCCCAGTCACAAGATTATGAACATCTTTACTGTTGAGAATTTGAACAAGGGTACCTTCCTGGCCGGCTCCGCAGCTCACTAGGCTAATCCTCCGCCTTGCGGCACCGGCACACCGGGTTCTGGTCCCGGTCGGGGCGCCAGATTCTGTCCCGGTTGCCCCTCTTCCAGGCCAGCTCTCTGCTGTGGCCAGGGAGTGCAGTGGAGGATGGCCCAAGTGCTTGGGCCCTGCACCCCATGGGAGACCAGGATAAGTACCTGGCTCCTGCCATCGGATCAGCGTGATGCGCCGGCCGCGGCGGCCATTGGAGGGTGAACCAACAGCAAAAGGAAGACCTTTCTCTCTGTCTCTCTCTCACTGTCTCACTGTCCACTCTGCCTGTCAAAAAAAAAAAAAAAAAAAGAGGTGAGAATAGGCCGGCGCCATGGCTCAATAGGCTAATCATCTGCCTGTGGCACCGGCACACCGGGTTCTGGTCCCGGTCGGGGCGCCAAATTCTGTCCCGGTTGCCCCTCTTCCAGGCCAGCTCTCTGCTGTGGCCCGGGAGGGCAGTGGAGGATGGCCCAAGTGCTTGGGCCCTGTACCTGCATGGGAGACCAGGAAAAAGCACCTGGCTCCTGGCTTCAGATCAGCGCGGTGCGCCGGCTGCAGCGCGCCAGCCGCAGTGGCCATTGGGGGCTGAACCAATGGAAAAGGAAGACTGACTCTCTCTCTCACCGTCCACTCTGTCTGTCAAAAGTAAAAAAATAAAAAAAAAGAGGTGAGAATAAACAGGCACCTGAAAGAATGTTCTAAGAAGTCACACCACCGAGACAAGCAGGCGTGAAGAGTCCTCGTGGGAACAGAGGCCGGAAGCGAGCCGCTGCCGCTCTTCCCACCCGCCCCTGGGCTCAGCATCACTGGACTCGGTTTCCAAAAGCAACTCTGAGACGTAGGTGATGCCACCCATCCACACTCACGCTAAGGGAGTGTAATGTCACACTAACAGCAGGGAGAAGCTCCAAGGTGTCACCTACCTAACGTTTTTAGCCGCTCTCCGACGAGTCTGCCTTTTGGGAGCTTCATCATCTTCATCATCATCATCAGAAGAATCCTGCTTTTTTCTCTTTCCCCGCTGAGTCTTAGTTTGCTTTTTAACACGAGGTTTGGGCACTGTTCTAAAATAAGGAGGAAAAAGTGGCAAAGTTTTTACTCAATCATTTGGTGTCTATTTCAAACAACTGTGCTACATAAGTAGGAGTCCCCTGGGGAAGGTTAAAAATGCATGTTCTTGGGTCGCACTCCCTGAAACCTGCACGTGGTTGATTCTGGCGCTGATCATCCCCAGTGTTCACGGGGAGACAGTGGAGGGTTCCCAGCTGGTCCTCACAATCCCCTACACAGAAGCACGTGAGCATCTTGTTGCGGATGCGTCTCTGCGTAAACAACTGGGAATGCACATCAAACTTAAAATAGGATGACTTCACTTACGGGAGTGAGTCCTGCAGATACACATTCATACAGAAATCAGATACTCACTGTAGTGCTACTTGCAGTAAGAAAAGGTTAGGAAAACTCTAAATGTTCACCAATGAGAACGAAACAGAATACTACGTGGTCATAACAAAGAAAAGGGGAGTTTTCTGCGTACTGATGGGAGAAGATTTCCAAGATCAACAGAGAAGGAGCCCCGCAGACTGAGACGCAGAGGACGCCACTGTCCGTGTGAGAGCCTGAAGGACGAGGAGCGACACGTAGCTTTCTACTGTGTGTCTAAGACACCTGGAGACGCCCCAGGAGCCTGGCCGTGCCACAGACCTGAGCAGATGGAGGAGCGGCTCTGCGACCTGCCACGCACCACCTGGACTGAGCGGCAGCCTGGGGGCTCACACAGGGGAAGCCTCAAACCTCCAGCAATGAGGAAAGGATGAAAGAAGCAGGAGGGAGATGCCAGAGTCTACTGGATCCTGGCCATCTCCTACACAGATTCTCTGCCTACTGTTACATGTAAGCTACAGGAACAGGGCAATGAGCAGGCACGTATGCTTCAGACCAGCCCAACACTTTTAAATTTAACAAGTAGTTCTTACAAAAAGAACCGACAAGCATACAGGGGGTTTCTTTTCAGAAGTGGGAGACGGGGGCCAGCTTTGCAGCACAGCAGGTAAAGCCACATGAGTGCTCATGTGTCCCAGCTGCTCCACCTCTGGTCCAGCCCCTGCCAGCGGCCTGGCAAAAGCAACGGAAGGTGGGCCCAAGTACAGACTTCTGCCACCCGCGTGGGAGACCTGGAGGAAACTCCTGATCCTAGTTTTGACTTGGCACAGCCCTGGCTGCTGTGGCCACCTGGGCAGTGAACCAGCAGATGGAAACACGTTCCCCCTCTCTCCCTCTCTCTCTCTTTCTTCCCTCTCTCTGTGTAACTCTTTCAAATAAATAAATGCATCTTTAAAAAATAAAAATGAAAGTGACAGACATGTTAACACCCCCATAACTAGTTGGCCATGAAGTGGAAACCATAGGATCCACTGAGACAGCTACACCCACACAAACACCCACAACGGATATAAACAAGGAGCCCGGTCATGCGAGCCCTTGCCGACAAGGAGGCCTGCCATGAAGCGAGCTGCAGACAACCAAACCCAGAATCGCTACACACAGCCCGGCAAGGCGCTCGGGCCGGCACCGCCTCGTCCTTCCCAAGCCCATCCAGGACTCCTAAGCACACAGTGCACCTTCTGGGCACAGGTCTTCTGGCTTTCACTTTTTTTTGCTCTGCTTCGCTCTCTGCACTGGTGCCTTGCTCCCGTTCATCTTCTGAGGGCTCCCGTTTCCATTTTTCTCTGCGATCAAAAGCAAAATAAAATAATTTTTTTTCTTGAAAAACTCTTCAAGCTAAACAATGACAAAACCAACTTCAATCTGATCCAAAAGGCAGAACATGCATGTCCTAGATAATATGCTAAAAGAGATTTATTATAGCTCCATTTATTAAATTTTGGTTGTGATCTTTCCTAAACTATACAGTGTCTACTCCCATGTTACCTCTGTTAACAAAAATTAGTGAAACTGGAAACTGCAGGTGTATTTTTAAACCACTGGTTCTCGAGGAGAAAGACTGCTAGATTCTCCTGGTCTATTTTATGCCCCCCCTCACTGACAAGATACAAGCCATAACAGATTCTAGATCAGCACCCAACATTAACTGGCATCAGCACCGCCCACGGGGCACAGTCAGAGTCTCAAACATGACCTAAATATTTGAATTTTAACAAATTCACAGATGATGCTGACACTGGGCTAGAAGTTCTGTGAGAAGATCACACGTTACTCTTTAGGCTGTATCCAAGAAAAACAGCTACTAAAATCATTTTTCAATGATAAACCCACTACCTAAATAATCTACTCAGCTAAAGAAGTGGTTTTTAGAAAAGGTAGATCTGCTCCCTGAATCTCAGAAGGCTGGGAAGAGCCATAACCTACATACCCTGCTACCCACATAACCTACATACCCTGCTACCCACATAACCTACATACCCTGCTACCCACATAACCTACATACCCTGCTACACACATAACCTACATACCCTGCTACACACATAACCTACATACCCTGCTACACACATAACCTACATACCCTGCTACACACATAACCTACATACCCTGCTACACACATAACCTACATACCCTGCTACCCACATAACCTACATACCCTGCTACCCACATAACCTACATACCCTGCTACACACATAACCTACATACCCTGCTACACACATAACCTACATACCCTGCTACTCACATAACCTACATACCCTGCTACACACATAACCTACATACCCTGCTACACACATAACCTACATACCCTGCTACACACATAACCTACATATCCTACTACCCAGCTACTTGTAGTTTACTTGAAGACCAAACAAGACACCACAGGGACCTGCAGGGAAGAAGGAACAAGGAAGAGCTACAGGGCATGGAACACTCAATAAACCCAGCAGGCAAGTGCCCAAGGTTTCTCTGAAGACAAAACAATGATCACATTGCCTGTTAGTGCATTTAGGGAAAAGAAGTCATGCTAAAGATACCTGTTGGCAGAACTGCAAAATCCAATCAATACTCTCCTTGGGTAATGGGTCAAAGTAATCATGAGAGCTTGTTACAGAAGGTGGTTGGGCAGTGTTGTGCTGCAGCAGGTTAAGCCACCATCTGCAGTGCCAGCATCCCATATGGGCACATGTTCGACTCCCTGCTGCTCCACGTCAAGTCCAGCTCCCTGCTAATGCTCCGGGGAAAGCAGCAGAAATGACCCAAGTGCTTGGGCCCCGAACCCATGAGGGAAACCCATAAGAAACTCCCGGCTCGGCCTGACCCTGCCCCAACCATTGCAGCCATTTGGGAAGTGAATCAGCAGATGAAAGACTTCTCTCTCTGCCTCTCCCTCCGCCTTTCAAATAAATAAATAAATCTTAAGAGAGAGAGAGAGAGAGAGAGAGAGGGAGGGAGGGAGGGAGGCACAGCACATTGCCTGGCAAATGGAGGATTCCTTCCTCAAACAATGGATCAATCAAGGAACGGTCTCCTCAGCTCACCGGTCAGGCAGACACAGGGCTTTCCAAAGCTGATCGGAAGACAGCAAGGCCTGCTAGTACTGCCTGACAGTCTCTCCTGAACGAAGACCTCTCGCATCTCCCCAGCACCAGGCACCTGCTTCCCTAGAGCCGAGGAAATGTCTGCTGAAGAATCCAAGATGATCGCCAGGTGCGGAGGTAGAAGATTTCTCCAGCTACTGGGAGAATGGGGCGTGGTCTGCAGTATCTCTTCGAGTAAGTCCAGAAGCAGCTCACACCAACAAGCTGGAAACCAACCTTGAAAGCCCACAAACAAATGAGACCCAAGAAGAGCAGTGCCGTGAGAAAGGTCCACAGGCAAGCAGCAGGTCTAATCACCAGCCCCTCAGGAGCTGAGATCCAAACCAGGCCCACCAAAGAGGCCCACTTCCGCAAGCACAGGAGGCAAACAGAAGCAGACACAGGGAAACCGATGTTAAGCCTAGAGTTTTCCAATTAAAGATTTACAGACAACCAGGAAGACTCAGAATCTCAACATGAGCCGGTCTGAGGCCCAGTGAGAATGGGTTGTGGGCCAGAGAGGGAGACGGGGGAGAGACAGACGGAGAGAGACAGAGAGAGAGAAACACAGATGGAGAGACAGAGAGACTAAATGTGTGGTGTGTGTGTGCACGTGCAAAGCTGCTCTACTTCTGATCCAGTTCCCGGCTTATGCACCTGGGAAAGCCGCAGAACATGGCCCAAGTAGGTGGGCCCTGCACCCATGGGAGACACCAGGATGAAGCTTCTGGCTTCCCCCCTGCCCAACCCCAGCTACGGCCCCAATTTGGGGAGTAAACCAGCCAACAGAAGATCTCTATTTCTCCAACTGTCTCTGTAGCTCTGCCTTTCAAACAAATACATAAATCTGTTCTGAAGGTACGTATTTTTCTCCAAGATTTTAAGAATCAGGGGAAAAATAACAAGATTTAGCCAGTGAGGCCCCAAGGCAATGTAAACTGACATGGAAAAGTCAGAATGAAGGTGAACTGGGTGTACTTTTTTTTTTTTTTTTTTTTTTTACAGGCAGAGTGGACAGTGAGAGAGAGAGAGACAGAGAGTAAGGTCTTCCTTTGCCGTTGGTTCACCATCCAATGGCCGCCGCGGCCAGCGCGCTGCGGCCGGCACACCGCGCTGATCCGATGGCAGGAGCCAGGTGCTTCTCCTGGTCTCCCATGGGGTGCAGGGCCCAAGCACCTGGGCCATCCTCCACTGCACTCCCTGGCCACAGCAGAGAGCTGGCCTGGAAGAGGGGCAACCGGGACAGAATCCGGCGCCCCGACCGGGACTAGAACCCGGTGTGCCGGCGCCGCAAGGCGGAGGATTATCCTAGTGAGCTGCGGCGCCGGCCTGGGTGTACTTTTTTCCTTCATTGGGAAAGGGTGGTGAGAGGAATGCTTGTCCTGAGACAGCCAAGTTGAAGCAACAGTGACGCGACAATGAACAAAGCCACTCTTCCCCAGAAGGGGCCCGAGCCTCAGACAAGAGTGACCAGGGTCTACTGCTCACATCTCCAGGAGCCTAACGGCCGAAAACGACCTCTGTTTTCCTCCACACATGAGCAGGTACATCCGGGAAAGACAGAAGGAGGGGCTTCCAATTCCAATAAAAAAGGAAAATCTGGGACTAGGAGGACTTTCCTTCCACTAGGTCGCAGGTCTGTGGTAAGAGTCCCAATTCAAAACAGTAGGGGCCAGCAGCAGGTAGAGCCGCTGCCTGCAGTGCCAGCATCCCATATGGGCGCTGGTTCAAGTCCCAGCTGCTCCACTTCTGATCCAGCTCTCTGCTATGGCCTGGGAAAGCAATAGAAGATGGCCCAAATCCTCGGGCCCCTGCACCTGTGTGGGAAACCCAGAAAAAGCTCCTGGTTCCTGGCTTTGGATGGGCCCAACTCCGGCCATTGCTGCCTCCGCCTCTGTAACGCTGCCTTTCAAGTAAATAAATAAATCATTAAAACACACACACACACACACACACACTGGAAAGGAATAAGTAACAACAACTGTAAGTGAAAAGCTCCACACAATCATGCGTTCACTATCTTCGCATTCTGGTAGGGAGACAGGGTTCTGTACTAGGGAAGAGGTCTAGAACCAGGATCGGGAGTCAGCAGAAACCCCACACAACACTGCCCAGATCTGGGAAGCAGCAGCAGGTGCTATATGGAAAAGGATTAGATGATCAAAGAGCATGAATGGGCTGACTAAACATCAGAGTTTTGTTTATATGACTAAATCATCTCAAACACGTGCTGGGGACGGGTGAGGAACACAGAGTCCACTGGAGAACTCAGGGCCCACCACCGTGCTGTGAGCCAGCGCTGACAGGCTCAAAGAGGGCAGAAAGCCAGATTTCTCATACATACACCGACTTCCGATTTTCAAGGGTGCTAGCTAATTAAAAAATGTTTTCATTACCACGAAGGCCCACTGTGAAAGCAGACAAATGCACACGCTTCTCCGTCATGCGGTGGAGCAACCTGAAGTCAGCCTGGAGCAGTGGCAGCAGGAGGGCAAGGGAGGCACGGTAACGGGTGGAGCGGGCGCCAGGGCTCCAGCCCAGTGGGCCACCGCGGCACACACACCTGAGGGAGAGTTGGCGGGCACCAGACTCGGCGGGAGGCGGGAGCAGAGCATGCTGACCGTGTGCCCGATGTGAAGTTTACACTGCACGCTTTGTGCACATAAAGGTGTACAGCATTATATGCTAAAAAAATTCTCACAGAAAACTTTTTAAAATATATGGTGTATTGGGCCAGTGCCATGGCTCACTTGGTTAATCCTCCACCTGCGGCGCTGGCATCCCATATGGGCGCCGGGTTCTAGTCCCGCTTGCTCCTCTTCCAGTCCAGCTCTCTGCTGTGGCCTGGGAAGGCAGTGGAGGATGGCCCAGGTGCTTGGGCCCCTGCACCCACATGGGAGACCAGGAGGAAGCACCTGGCTCCTGGCTTTGGATCGGCACAGCTCTGGCCGTAGCGGCCATTTGGGGGATGAACTAATGGAAGGAAGACCTTTGTCTCTCTCTCTCACTGTCTAACTCTATCTGTCAAATAAAAATAAATAAATAAATAAATAAATAAAAAGTATGGTGTATGAATTTTAGTCTCAAATGGTTCAGACAGCATGTATGTGTGCATGTATGTATAAATATGTATCAAGAGAGCACCCACAAGAACAAAGAAATGCAGCAAAAACGGTAGTCATTGTTAAATCTCAGAAAAGTATTCTTGTAGTATTTCTCAAGTTTGAAGTAATCACTTTAAAAATATTTAATAAAATATTTTTCCTACAAACTCCACAGTGTGTAAGTACAACTTGAAAGGTTTCAGAAAAGCAGCTCCTTGCACAATATTTCACGAGGTCCGGCCCTCGTCAGTCTCCCTCGGTGCTGAGTCTCACCTGGGCTCCCTCAGATCAGACGTGGCCCTGCAGCTGGGGCACACTACATTAGTCTTAGAGTGAGAGGGCCTTTCTGACTTCTCTCAGACTCAGGGGACAGCACTCGGGAAGGCAGGCTGGCCCCGTGCACAAACACCCGAGCATGAGCACAACCTCCTGTGCCCACGGCGAGTTCCCGGGGCAAAGCCCAGGGGGAGGCAGCAAGACCACCAGAAGACACACCTCGTCCTGTAAGGGAAATAAGTCCAGGAAGACATCAGAGGGCCGCCAACTCGGGAGAACGCTTACAAGCTGGCCACGGGACTAAGCCTAGTACGCAGCACACCAGGTGGAAAACGCTGACCGCCTCACACACAGGTAAGGTCACTAAAGCGGGAAGTCAAGGACTTCAAGCACAGCACCATTTGAGCTGAGTCAAGAGACTGGCAGGAAGTAGCCAGATGGCAGAGGAAAGAGACACGCGTGGGCTCCCGACACATGGTCAAGGTGAACATCTCAAAGCGACCTCAAAGGCTACTAGGCAGCAGCAGTAACACGAGAACAGGCTCCCAGGCAGGCCACGGGGCCGAGGCAGAACAAGCGCCTCTGGGCCGGCACAGCTGAGCTTGCTGACGACTGCCGCCTCTCCTACGCTAAGCACACATTCAAAACACAGGGGACATTCAGTGCTCGCCTTCCCTGCAGTTCTCTTTCAGCACGGACATCTGACTCACAGTCTACCAGTTCCTAAGAACCTTCCTGGGGAGGCAGAATAATCCTCCAGTTTGGAGATGGGGAAAATGGGTTTTAAAAACTCAAATTACTTGTTCTGTCACTGATTAAAGACACTGCCAGCATCTTAGAATCACAGATGAACACACGCTTGTTTAGTATGACAACTCCTGAAATGGCTTGCAGTTTTAAATACCTCCATTTTTATTTTTCTGGGAGATCTTTGGAATTCATAGTCTAAAAGACCCACATCTTTTCCACAAAGACTTTTAAAAGTATTTCTCAAAATAAATTTTCAATGAAAGAGTCTTCTAATTAAAAAACAGCAAACTTGTAATCTGTTATAATTTCACACTAAGCCCAAGAATCACAAGTTGTCTAGTCTCTAAACTGCATTGTAACTATATAGAAATGACAACATGGATTTTCAGACCAAAATGGGAACCCAAACAGTATCATTCTGCCACACCAATACAAAAAAAAAAACAAAAGGAATGAAAAATGGCAAATCTAAATTTGTTCCTTGTTCTCCTAGTACACCCAATGCCTACATATATAGTTGGCATTTATGCACATTTTAAAGGGAAAAACAGCTGGGCTAACTGGGCTAAGCAGAGGGAGAGCTGGGGTTTGGCCAAGCAGCAGCCTGGCGCCTGTGGAGCCGTGCATGTGTCCCGCGGGACCCGGGCTGCACTCAGAGGCTGCCGTGGTGGCAGCAGATCAGCACAGGCAGTGGGAGCTGGCCGGAGACAGCAGACGCAGCCTGGCATGGACTGAGGCACAGTGAGGGCAGTCCTAAAACCGCTGACACGTTGCGCATTTCCCCCACGAGAGACTTACTGTTTCTTCAGCTGCCTCTGGCCTCTTCTTTTGGGGCTCCCACTCTCAGACCCGCTGCTTGCCTTCAGCGTACGAGGGGGAGAAACGATCACAGACGTTAATCGACAGCTTTTCGGGACAACACCACCTCCTGTTTAACGACCTACTCAACACAACATGATTAAACATGAGCTTTCAGACAAAAGGCAGCTCAGGCACTTGTCCAGTGGAGCCCACTCTTCTGCTGTGACAATCAGTCTCTCTGTGATTACTGAATTGTACCTAAACCTCTACGCTTGACTTCAGAACAGCGGTATCTGAAAGTATTGTCTGCAGTGACGTGTATGCTCTCTATTACAATGCCCAATGCGGGCGCCATCAGGCACAGGTGACGACTGATTATTTGCACTGTGGCGGGTGCGATGGAGAAGAACTTTGAGTTTTAAGTAATGTCAGCTAAACGACAAACTCCGTAGGTGCCCAGCGGCTGGTGCTGCAGATCAAAAGTACCCGGTGAAAATGTCACATTCAGTCAGCGCGCCTCTAGACACTGACTCATCACAGCGTGTGTCCACGCCCCAGCCAGCAGTGCTCTGCTCCCAGCACTAGGCCGAGGGACGTTACAGTCACAAACACCTCGACAGCTCTTTTTCCCCCAAATTCAGCAGACTGGCAAGCTCTGTTCTCGCTGTCGGTCTGAGGCCCTGAGAATACGTGATCATATGGAGACCTGGCCAGCTACGTGACGCTGTCCTACACACGGCCCAGTCACCTCGTGCCTGACACTCAGAGACAGGAGGCACAGGCAGGCCAGCTCGGGACGCTCAGAGCAGAGCACCCCCAGCCTGATACAGACCTGAGGGTGCGTGAGATTTTCAAGGCCACTCACCGAAAGCCCACATCCAACCAGCTAACCGAACCCTCAGCTGAATATTTAACTTTTATCAGGAGACTACTGTATTGCTTATCAGCAAAGTCCCCATGGAAGGCAGAAAGGGGACATTTCCCTGAGACAAGAACGTCTATAAACCTGACACAGAACAAAGAATCCACAAAAATAGCACACACACAGAAAGGCAAAAACAAGTCTGATTCTACAGACAAGCAAATCCAGTAATAACAATTTAACAGTCACATTCAGTATCTCACAATTAGTTCATAGAGTAAGTGTCTGAAACTCCTTTCTATCTCGTATTTAAAAAAGCCAGGAAACCAAATTTATAGACATTTTTAAAACATACAACATAAGTAATCACTCCCTCCTCCTTTCTTAGGAACAATTGCAAAAGTATGTCCCTTGCTCTATTTGCTTACCAAACAAGTTCACTCATTGAACAAAACATAGGAGCTAGAGGTTTAAAAGAGTAAACGCGCTGAGGTTACTTTCACTATAAGCAACTTAATAAATCATGAATTTTGGGAAGGCACTGTGGTGTAGCCGGTAAAGCCACCACCGACAGGGCCGCCATTCCATAGGGGTGCCGGTTCAAGCCCTGGTTGCTCCACTTCCAATCCATCTCTCTGCTATGGCCTGGAAAAGTAGTAAAAGATGGCCCAAGTCCTTGGGCCCCTACACTCATGTCGGGGACCCAGAGGAAGCTCCTGGCTCCTGGTTCCTGACTGGCCGAGCTCCTGCTGCTGCGGCCATTTGGGGAGTGTACCAGCAGATGCAAGACCAATTTCTCTCTGCCACTCTGTAACTCTGCGTTTCAAATAACTAAATAATCTTTTCAAAAAAAATACAGTAATTTGAGGCCAGTTTTGTATAATATTCTAACACTGTACTTGCTGATAAATGTCTTTTAAGTAAACCTTGTTGCCCTCCTCTATCTGTCACGGAAAGCCCATATCGAAGTCCCTCGGCTCTCGTGCCTCAAGCTCAGCCTAGTTAGCAGTCAGGAAGGACGAGGGAACACAGGCAGGACTTTCAGCATCGTTTTTCTTACCTCTTCCTTAATATTAAAGCGTGATGGTTCTTGTCTGCTTCGGTTTGACCGTCTGACCCCATAAACATCAGGATATTCTTCCCACATCTGTTAAATTAATAGACCTCCATTTACTACTTCAAGATGTTTCAAGAGAAATAACTAAGTATCAAAAGGGTTGTTTCCCTGATTTTGTTTATGATCCAACAAGACAAAGTTTACCAATGTCCTTCATTACCTAATGGTTATTAAACAATACTGCTTACCCATTATTAAAATATACTCACAACCAAGAAACATGGCCATTTAAGACAGCAATTACTTCTAAAGACACAGCACTGACTGAGGAATTTTTTAATTCCTTAACACTTTGAGTTTTAAACTAAAAAATTCTTTTAATTTACTTATTTGAAAAGCAGGCATACAGACACAGAGAGATCCCATCTCCTGATTTATTGACTCCTCAAATACCTGCCACAGCAGAGATTGGGCCAGGAATTCCATCAGGTCTCCTCCAGGGGTGGGAGAGACAATAACTGGGCCATCGCCTGCTGTCTTCCCGGCCGTGCACCAGCCAGAAGCCGCACTGGCGCCAGAGCACGTCCCTGTGGCGTGCAGGCCTGGCCCTCGAAACCCAATTTTAATAACACTTTCTCTTGGCTCTTCGTTTCCTGATGTCTTCTTTAACAAAGTTAAATATTTACGGTATTAGAGATCCCAGCTATGAATCCCAGATAATCAACCAGGACTTCAGTGAAACTGAAAACTTACTCTACAATTCACGGCCTCTACAGTGTCCTTTCATCTCTACCTGTAAATAACTCCACACTGTAGAGAAGAAAATTATACCCAGGCTAATCTGCAGTCATCGCATCTCATTCAGACACAAACTGGAGTCTTCTGAGAAGAACACCTGCACCAGACAGCAGGTGCTTAGCCCAGCAGGTAGGGTGCCGAGTCCCTTAGCAGAGAGCTCCAGAGAGCTGGGATTCAATTCCCAGTGAGGTCTGGACCCCAGCCTCCTGCTAATGCAGCCCCTGGAAGGCAGCTGTGATGGCTCCCAGAGCTGGGTGCCTGTCCCCACCGGGAGCCTGGACTGAGCACCTGCTTTCAGGCTCAGCTAGTCTGGGTACATGGGGAGTGACCCATGAAGGGGAACTCCATATGCCGCCTTGCTCCCTCTTTTTCTGTGTCTCCCAAATAAAAAATGTAATAATAACATAAAATACATGTACACTAGAAACCAGGCTCAGACACCAAGTTCTGAGCAGGGCCTCCTGCCACGTGCATGGGTGGCAAATTTCTGAGTTTAATGATTCATGGGGCAGGATCTCTAGGTGGTATTTTGTATGCAGGGTTATTTGGGAAAAAGTCAATACTTGAACTGTCTTTTTGAAAAGTACACTACACCTGAGCAGGCAACAAAGAACACATTTATTAGCAAGCACAACTTCCATTTTCCTAGCTCTCGGCACTCGCCAACCTCCCACCAGCTCCTAAAGTTCACGTATCCTTAATCAACGATCATACCAGAAAGGTAAGAACTAAAGCAACACGGTTAATACCAAGTGTATCTCAAGTGAAAAAAGTAGTTTTGCTTCGCTTTTAATTTCAGGTTTCCCAAGGTATTCTGTGGGACTTGCAGATAATTTAAAATTGTTTGTATTTTTACAACGATCTGAGTAAGAAGTATATATAGACACATCTTAGACAAGCAAGGCTTAACTAAAAATAACTAGCATACAACATTTTATTTCATTAAGCTATTCTACATTGTAAAGCAATACAACGACCCCAAACACAGTTCTCTGAAAATGGAAACTGACAAGGCTCTGCTGCCTTCTGATGATGTCTCCTACAAAATGGCTGCACACTCAAGTTTAGGCATCGATGGGAAAATGTTACACAACTCAATCTCTGCTTTTTTTTATTCTTTGATAGAAGACACTATGCAATTAAGCAATTAAAATCTACAAGCTTGGGGCCAGCGCTGTGGTGTAGCGGGTAAAGCTGCCGCCTGCAGTGCCAGCATCCCATATGGGAGCCAGTTCAGTCCTGGCTGCTCCACTTCCGATCCAGCTCTCTGCTTATAGCCTGGTGGCCCAAAATCTTGGGCCACTGCACCCACATGGGAGACACGGAAGAGGCCCCTGGCTCCTGGCTCTGGATCGGCACAGCTCTGGCCATTGTGGCCAATTAGGGAGTGAACCAGCAAATGGAAGACCTCTCTCTCTCTCTCTCTCTCTCTCTCTCTGTAACTCTTTCAAATAAATAAATAAATCTTTAAAAAAAAAAAACACCCTACAAGCCTAATTATAGGTCACTTTTTGTCTGTGAGAAGTGTTTCCTGTCTATCAGATAATGAAAACTATCTTTTCTCTTGGATTGTGATTATCTGTCACTAAGCCCTACAACTGTGTCCCATGATCAAAAGGACAGTCACCATTATCTGCCAATGACTTTTCTTTTATCAGCACAGTACAGAAAAAAAGTAACCATCTTCTTGAAAAGTAAAGGCTAAAACTACAAAACCGCGTCCTGCTGTGCGCTAGCAGGATGGCTCGTGCAATTGAGTCCTATCGATCCAGAAGGGGTCCCTGCAGGTCGGAAAGGCAGCAGCAAGGTCAGGTCAGGCGTGCCGCGTCCCACAGGACACGACGGCGGCAGCACACTCGCATCTAGCAGCAGGGGAAATACCTTCTTCACGTCCGCTATCCGCTCCTTCTTAGAGGCCGGCTTCTCTTTGGCTTCTGGAAGCACCGGCTGCGACTTGGAGCCCGCGGATTCGCTCTCGGACTCCGACGGGCTCTCGGAAGACTCGGAGCTGCTGTTGGACTCGCTGCCATGTCGGCTTCCTGGGTCGCTGCCCTGCTCGCTCTCCGACTGGCTGCCGGAGTCTGACCCTGAGGCTTCTTCAGAGGCTGAATGACTTAAGGTAAAAAGAGAGATTGAAGAACACTGAAGAACTGCCCTATGACTCTCCTCGAAATTCCTCACGGTAAAGTGTCCGCAGAGGCCCGGCCTTGCCGTCTCCCGCACGGAGTCCCAGCGCACAGACAACCTCCCAGGCACCTCAGCCTGCCCGGCTGAACCTGGCCTCCGCCACTTTCTCCAGGTCCAGCACTTAACGATTCCTTCCCTCAGCCCAGCAGGCCACTGCACTGTCCCCTGCACGCCCCGCACCCACGGCCTGTGCAGCTGACTCCAAGCAGCACCCTCTCTCGGAGAACACCCTCCCTGAGCCCACCCTCAGCAGGTGCTTCCAGACAGGGAAACAGCAGGCTCGAGTCGGAGCTGCAGCTTCAAGGCCCGGGCTCAGCAAGGCCGTGCGCTGACCCGGCCATTAGCCGCTACACTACCTTGCCTCCAGGATGCCCATCCTCTAAGAACACTCCGGTCCCCTATTGGCGTCCCCAGACCTGATGGCTGAGCCGAACTTCTTCAATGTCCTCTGCCCCTGGCAAAGCAGGGAGGGGCTGGCTGCCTTGCTGGAGCACCCAATCGGCCCACCTTTCGGAATGGCTGGTTTAGTCTTGCAATCACTAGAACGCTGACCTCCAGAGAAGGCTTAAGGGCAGAATCGACTGCAGCAACCATCAGCAGCTAAGACTGCCCCAGGACCACCGTGTGATCCACGTTCTCCCACGAAACAAACAAACAGCCCAACATCAACAAAGACTGCAAATCTTCAACCAGCACGTGAGCGAGCAGCGTCAGGCCACTGATGACCACAGGCGTAGGCCTCGGTGCTTACGTGCGGCTCTGCAACGGCAACGCAGGGGTCAGGCAGGAACACTCTGGCCGGCTGAGTGCCTCACCCGCCCTGGCAGCCCTGCGCACAAATGCACACATGTAACTCCCATTCCCCAGCGAGGGGACATTAGGGTATCATCAAATGGCTCACCTAACAGACAAAACACGAGTGTCCTTGATGTACTCGCAGACTTCTATGCCACCAGGCAGAAGACTGCTTCCAAACCGCTCACTGTGAAAACTCCGAACATCCAGACACACCTTCCAGCTCTGCTTCCCCTCTGTAACCACGGGGGCGCAGCCCTCAGACATGCACAACGCACACAGTAGCATGCCCTAGGTAAACACAGCCATGTTTCTATCAGTGCATACCTTGGCATGTAAATGCATTTTTTTTTTTAATTTGACAGGTAAAGACATAGAGAGACAGAGAGAAAGATCTTCCTTCCATTGGTTCACTACCCAGATGGCCGCCATGGCCCGAACTGTGCTGATCCGAAGCCAGGAGCCAGGTGCTTCTTCCTGGTCTCGCGTGCGGGTGCAGGGGCCCAAGCCGGCCACAGCAGAGAGTTGGACTGAAGAGGAGCAACCGGGACTAGAACCTGGCGCCCATATAGGATGCCGGCACCACAGGCGGAGGATTAACCAAGTGAGCCACGGTGCTGGCCCTATAAATGCACTTAATCAGCGGTTAGCAGAGGTTGTCTCTGCTGGGTAGGTTATCTGAGGTATACATGAGACGCTCAACCCCCAAGAAACGTAAACACTAAACCCATGACTGATTCAGCTCTGGGGGCCGAGTGGCAGATGTGATCAGAGGACACTGGTGACATTCATGACTGAGCTGAGGCTGAGCTCACTGCTGTTCACTGTATGTCACACGTTTTCAACGTCCGAACTAGTTCACTGAAAGAATCCAACCAAGTCAACCCCAGGGCAAGGGTTGCAAGCACCTCAAACCTACACAAGAGGAGGAGATCTGAATGCATGTCAACACTGACCGTCTAAGTTACTGCAGAACCATCAAGACAGATGAAGACTTGAGAGAAAATCTTAAGTCTTAATAAAGGCATTACTCACCGGCGCCGCGGCTCACTAGGCTAATCCTCCGCCTTGCGGCGCTGGCACCCCAGGTTCTAGTCCCGGTTGGGGCGCCGGATTCTGTCCCGGTTGCCCCTTTTCCAGGCCAGCTCTCTGCTGTGGCCAGGGAGTGCAGTGGAGGATGGCCCAGGTGCTTGGGCCCTGCACCCCATGGGAGACCAGGAAAAGCACCTGGCTCCTGCCATCGGATCAGCGCGGTGCGCTGGCCGCGGCGGCCATTGGAGGGTGAACCAATGGCAAAGGAAGACCTTTCTCTCTCTCTTTCTCTCTCACTGTCCACTCTGCCTGTTAAAAAATAAATAAATAAATAAATAAAAAATAAAGGCATTACTCATTTTTCATATTTCTTATAGGACAAGCTCCACTATGAAATGCAAAAGGAGGGGCCAGCGCTGTGGCGCAAGGGGTAAAGCCTCCACCTGCAGTGCCAGCATCCTGTAAGGGCGCAGGTTAGAGACCCAGCTGCTCCACTTCCGATCCAGCTCTCTGCTATGGCCTGGAAAAGCAGTGGGGGATGGCCCAAGTCCTTGGGCCCCTGTACCCACCTGTGAGACCCAGAGGAAAATCCTGGCTCCTGACTTCGAATTGGCACAGCTCCAGCCGTTGTGGCCAACTGGGGATGGAAGACTCTCTCTCTCTCTCTCTCTGCCTCTCCTTCCTGTGTAACTCTGACTTTCAAATAAATAAACAAACCTTTAAAAAACAAAAAAAAGGTGTCCCAAGTCCTTGAGCCCCTGTACCCATGTGAGTAGAAGTTCCTAGCTTTGGATCAGCGCAGCTCCAGCTGTTGCAGCCAACTGGGAAAGTGAACCAGCAGCTAGAAGACTTCTACCTCTACCTCTATACCTCCCTCTCTCTCTAACCCCCAACTCTGCCTTTCAGATAAATAAGTAAGTCTTTAAAAAAAAGAAAAAGAAACGCAAAAGGATAGGTACTACAGCAGGTGGCGAAGCGTCAGGTGGTGGCATGAGGAACACCCAGAGTAGGTGAGTTTCTCCCCAGGAGGGGGTGAGAGGCCTGGGGTCTACCCCAAAGGATCAGGTTTCAGGACCTGTTGGCAGCCAGCCCCCTTCAATTCCTGGGCCCAGTGGTGGTGTCTCCGTTGAGTGTAGGCAGGGAAGCAGGTGGCCAGCCCCTGTCCTGGAAGTCATGGACCTAGATCTAGCCCTAATGCAAAAGTTCAGCTGTCTGGGCACCACGATCAAGGACACAATCATCTTCCAGCTCAAGCAGCCGGCTGCACCTTCTTCCTGGACATGAGCAGCCGGTGCACGCTTCACCTCAAGGAAGCTCAGCGTGTTCGCACGTCAACAAGCAGTCAGAGCACAGAATCAAAGATCTGGACTCTGAACTCCCCAAGCTGAAAGCTGCTCAGGAAGAATCCAGCCAGCAAGAGAAATACAAGCAACTGTATCTCGAAGTCCCTGTTAGAAGAGCCTCGTCAGCCGGCGCCGCAGCTCACTAGGCTAATCCTCCACCTTGCAGTGCCGGCACACGGGGTTCTAGTCCCGGTCGGGGCACCGGATTCTGTCCCGGTTGCCCCTTTTCCAGTCCAGCTCTCTGCTGGGGCCCTGCACCCCATGGGAGACCAGTAGCAAGCAACTGACTCCTGCCTTTGGATCGGCACGGTGCGCTGGCCACGGCAGCCATTGGAGGGTGAATCAACGGCAAAGGAAGACCTTTCTCTCTGTCTCTCTCACTGTCCACTCTGCCTGTCAAAAAAAAAAAAAAAAAAAGAAGAACCTCGTCAAGTAAACTAGATGAGACTAACGAGCAGCTAGCAGGGTCAGAACTCAATTTCTCCTGGAGAAACAATGGCCCAGCTCACTAACCAGCTCACTAACCAGCTCTCTTCCTATGAAGACTACCGCAGTCACAAAGCCAGGAAACTGTGCTGAGAGCTGACTGCTCGGCAGAGCTCTCACCCCACAACCTCGGTGGGGGGGGTCTCACCTCCAGACGGCGGCACAGCACAACAGGCCCCCTGGGCACGCATACTCCCAGGATGCTCTCATTGGAAGCTTATGGAAAAAAGCTTTCCAGAATAGTCACAAAATCAGTCAACCTGGGGCTACCGCCTGCAGCACCGGCATCCCTCGTGAGTGCTGGTTCAAGTCCCGGCCGCTCCACTTCCAATCCAGCTCCCCGCTAGCGCGCCTGGGAAAGCAGCAGACGATGGTCCAAGTGCTTGAGCCCCTTCACCCACGTGGGAGACCTGGAAGAGGCTCCTGGCTCCTGCTTCAGATCAGCCAGCTCCGGCTGTTGCGACCATCTGGGGAGTGAACCAGCAGATGGAAGACCACTCTCTTTCTCTGTAACTCCTTTCAAATAAATGGATTAATCTTTATAGTTATTTTCAACAAAATTTGCCTTCAGGCCTAAGTAAAGATATGGGAAGCACAAAACAAGTTAAGTAACGATGGAGCTCCTGAGCATATGACCCTTTACTTGAGGATCTAACAATGAGTCCAATCAAAGTCAACATACATTTTTCAAAGTGTCAGGGTCAGGGCTGGCACTGTGGCATAGTGGTAAAGTGACCGCCTGCAGTGCTGGCATCCCATGAGTGCCAGTTCAAGACCCAGCTGCTCCACTTCTGACCCAGCTCTCTAATGGCCTGGGCAAGCAGTAGAAGATGGCCCAAGTCCTTGGGCCCCTGCACCCACGTGCAAGACCTGGAAGAAGCTCCTGGCTCCTGGCTTCAGATCAGACCAGCTCCGGCCACTGTAGCCATTTGGGGAGTGAACCAGTGGATGGGAGACCTCCCTCCCTCCCTCTTTCTCTCTCTGCCTCTCTTCTGTAACTATGCCTTTCAAATAAATAAATATTTAAAGAAAAAAAAAGTGTCAGAGCCAGCATTGTGGCATGGTGGGCAAATCCACTGGCATGCCACATGGGCACCAGATTTTGTGTCCTGGCTGTTCCACTTCCAATCCAGATCCCTGCTAAGGCACCTGGGAAAGCAGCAGAAGAGATGGCCCAAGTGCTTGGGTCCCTGCTACCCACGTACGAACTTGGATGAAGCTCCTGGCTCCCGACTTCAGCTTGGCCCACCTCTAGCCACAGAAGCCATCT